GTTAAATTTCCCTTTTTCATAACATTTAAAATTTTAAAAAAGAAGCAAATCCAACCAAAAGATAAGAAGATAAACCGGCGTTAAAAAAGTTTAGGAAATATTGGCGTGTTCTTTGAAGTCAGACGTCAGATTGGGTATTTTAGCATTTTATCCTGTGATCTGGTAAGAACCACTTACGCATTCATGTTCGTCCAAATAGGAAAATAGGAGTATTCCACTACAGTCGTGATATATGTATCTTGATATTTGTGTCCAGATGGTGCTGCAGTAAAGTCCCTGAGCGTCTTTATCACTTGCCTCCATCTCTTGGTCACAGGCAGTCGCCAGGTACTGACCGCAGTTTGATGACTTTTCTCCGTTTTCGTTTTTCTGCCGAAAATCAAATGCAAAAAGAAAACTTTTTCACGAAAATTATGAAGCTAAATGTATCTTTCTATCTATCTTTCGCTTTTGTATTCCGACTTCAAAAGTGGAGGCAAAAAGATCCCTTCGAAAATATCCAATTTTTACCGTTATCATAGCAATATGCTCAATGTGCACAAGATTGTACAGAAGACACAAAAGTAAGTAGCACCTTTATACATACGCTGAAGGTTAGATCGAGTTGTTGATTGTCAAAACATTTCATGTTTTTCATCAAGAGGTTTAAAAATGAAACGCTATGATAATACATTATCTTGTATTATTACTGCATCAAGCGAGAGAGATTTGGAAATATAACTAATAATTACTGGAAATTCAGATGTTTTTTTCTGGTGTTACTATAAGAAAGTTATGCTTACTTCTGGTGAGTGATAGATTATATAAAACATTTCCCTGTATTTCGGGACATTTGAGATTGTGTCACTGGTATTGTACCTAATAATTTATTTATTTATTTATCAGGTGTAGTGTATAACTGAATTCACACGTCTAATTCATATCTTTGTATTTTGCATGATCGTGAAAACCTATATCTTACTACAATGAGCTATAGCTGCCCTGTATTGACACAGTCTTAAGTCAGATTCATATTGTTGAACACGACGTATGAACGAAATCCTCAGATTAATTTATATTTAGAACACACGACTAAGAACCGTTTTTGATTGCTGTTGTGTGTCCTGTAGATAAAAAGAAACAAAAAGCTTGATGAAGTAAGCTACGTGAATATGGCATTTTTGTCATCAGTCACAAAAGTATGAGACCCGACAATAACGGACTGTTTACTACAATAGTTTGTCTTGCATGCTTATAGTTCTATCAGAGATCAAACGAGTGTAATGGACTAGCTTACACGACCATAAAACGCCATGACGTTTGATAAATTGAAGGTTTTGTTAGGAAACAGTTATATCACCAATGGTGTTCTATCGTAACAGGCCTTTTTGATTGAGGTCACGTAGGGAAACAGGGTCACCTGTGAGAGGTCATGACAACTGCATTTAACTTTAAATCAGGTTATAATTGGTCATTGATAGAAATGTGTCTACGGAATGCAACCAAGTATGAACAGTCTTTATATGTTTTTTTTTCCAAATTACATTTCAGTATCTTTTTTACAAGCACGGGTATCATACTGCTGGGTGATAATAGTGAATATCATGCTTAGGTGAAACGCAAGTTCACTTTTTTTTCACTCTGTCACCCGACATTTTCTGCGGAGTAATCTTTTTAGGTAATGTCCTGTTTTAGATGTGCATTTTACAATGTTTATCAGAAATGGGACTTGGTCAAGATATTATCAATCAACAAAAATAACGACATATTCATCTTAATTAAAACTAAATATCGACTGAATGAAGTGAAAACGATGAAAAGAAAGATGTTTCATGGAATGTCGAAAGGTTACGGGATCAGAATGGGTAATAGGGTAAAAATCCGTCACGTGATCTTGATATGAAAACGAAATCCCCAGGCATACTAATAAGCACTGGACAGAATAAAAACAGAAATAGGATTATTTCAAAATAAGGCCATAAGGCCAAACGTATACATGTTCTTCGCCAATGAAGGAAATTTTGATATTCTACGTAATATCCAGGAAACAGTCAGAATATTTGAAACAAATGATCTTCACCGTTTGCGTGATATTTGTTATATCTCAAAATAAACAACGGAGAAAATCAAAAATCGATTTGTGTGGTTAAGAAGAACATCAGAGACGGCAGATCTGACAATAGTAACGATGGGCAATCCTCTGACATCTGTTAAGAAGTCGTCATTGTGAATGGATAACATTAGCTTCAAAAGAACTTAGAATGAATTTTAATTTTTTTCAACGCTTATGAAATTTGAAAATTCCAGTTTGTAGCGTTTCCATTGGTGTTCGGTATATAATAATGCTAAATAAATATGTAAATGTAATTTTCCATTCTGAGGTCGTTTAGTAATACATCGTAAACATCAAAATCTCACTAAATATTTGTCAAAGTTACCAAGACAAATCAACTGGTGGCTGATGAGGTATCACTGAATTATCAGTTGTTTATGATAATTGTTTTCTTGTAGATTATGGTAAAGTTATATGTTTTACCTCATATTCAGTCTGAACGTGATCTGTTAGACTCGTTACCATAATAAATCGTGTTCTATTTAAATACGGCACACAGAAAGCTTATCCGCCCAAAATATCGGTCTACTTACGATATGTTTAAGGCATGAAGATATTACTAATTAGTAAAAAGTCCTATTAAAATTTTCTTTTTTCACCTTGTCTTATTTTTACTGCTTTCATCTATTCATTTTATTATTTATTCATTTATTTATTTACGTGTCTCTTGTTTTTTTTTTCTTCTCGATGTACCGGTTCAATTATTTGGTTCATTTGAAGTATGATACAATATATAGTTAATGTGGTTGGGATGATGGAGAAACAATGGTGATATATACACAAGTATATCATACTTATCATAATGTCAGATAACAATATGTCGTCACCTTGTGACAAATAGTTTGAGAAAGTCACTATTTTGGCGTCAGAATGCATAAGTGGTATGCGATTGCAGCATACAGCGTCAAATGCCATAACACATTATTTTGACAGATCTGTGACAATATACTATCGTTTCAGGGAATACACTCAAATGAAAAACGATACTTGTGTCTTTTTTTAATATGATACACATTCCATATATATATACGTCAGAAAAATCTCTGATATTTTCATAAGTGCAAAAAGAAATTTGTCATCGTCATGAAAAAGACGATTTTTTTCGACAGTGAATCATAAACTTTCTTATATACTGTAAAAGTACGTGATCCCAGCAAAGCTGTGTCAACAATAAACGACTTGTATAAATATATATATACATAGCTAGTCATCACTCTGTTTATATCATCATCATCCAGACATACCGAATGAGGTTTTTTTTCCACACCTAGTCGTGTCTAGTTAACACTGAGGCGCGACCAAGGTCAGCACCTCCTGGCCTATGGGCGAATGGTAGTCAGTGAGGCACGCCAACCTTAAACTGTGATCAGGTGGTACAAATACTTAGTTAATGTAGTGGCGTGTCAATTACCTTGGACGTAACACAAACACGCACAGGGGACGCAGCTTCAGCAGTAAGTACAGCCGTATGCATTTGTTACAGTTAAAATCTATTTTCTACGAGTCCAAATGTTTTAAACTTCAAACAATGGTGATAAAGTTGCTCTATAAATGACAGCGTTTTCTTCTTCCAGTTTAAAAACTTTAAAGAGAGAAACAAAAAAAGACGCGAAAAACTTGTGACAGCGAAAAGACCATGAATGCTTTCTTTACATATGCAACATTCGCCTGCATCAGTATAATTAATCAATAGTTCAGCTAATTAGATATATACAAAGCATGTATTCTCGTAATTTGTTAATATTCAGTTTCTTAGATAGGAGTATTTTTAAAGACTTTTTTTATTTGAGATTTTCACTAATTTCCTTCCTATTTGGTTAGTAAGATTGAGCTGACGTCAAATCCAAGACACGTGATATGTTTATAAATTATAATAATCTAACATATCCCCACATAAACGTCAAAGATTTGTACGAAACTATTTCATTTCAACTTTTACCGTGTCTGATTTTGCTTCTGGTTTCTGAATTACAGACAGTGATAGTATTCGTTCTGTATTTTACAATGTTTCTATCAATTTTACCGTGTCTGATTTTGCTTCTGGTTTCTGAATTACAGACAGTGATAGTATTCGTTCTATATTTTACAATGTTTCTATCAATTTTACCGTGTCTGATTTTGCTTCTGGTTTCTGAATTACAGACAGTGATAGTATTCGTTCTATATTTTACAATGTTTCTATCAATTTTACCGTGTCTGATTTTGCTTCTGGTTTCTGAATTACAGACAGTGATAGTATTCGTTCTATATTTTACAATGTTTCTATCAATTTTACCGTGTCTGATTTTGCTTCTGGTTTCTGAATTACAGACAGTGATAGTATTCGTTCTATATTTTACAATGTTTCTATCAATTTTACCGTGTCTGATTTTGCTTCTGGTTTCTGAATTACAGACAGTGATAGTATTCGTTCTATATTTTACAATGTTTCTATCAATTTTACCTGTCTGATTATTACAGGGATTGGTTCTAAAATTTTTGGCTTATAAACCTTGGCCCATGTAACGATACCAGATAACTCTTCACCTCTTACTTCTAGTCAAAAGTTCAATCATGCAGTATGCGTATGGTATTATATAAAATATCATTTTCTTTTACATGAAACATTGCATTTGTCTCGTTACAACTTGTAATCTACGTTTATAAAAATAAAATCTCTACTTTTTTTCTTTTGTTTTTTTTTCCACATAGCTACTTAGATAACAAACAACGATTATTAACAGACATATACACTTTTTATTTTGAAACAAGGAATAAATTATTTTTGCTACTGTGCATGACACCTATTGGCCATGTTCGCAAATATCTCAGAGTGTTCATTTACAGGATATCAATAAAGTTTGTTTTAATACTTTTCGTTTCTATTTCCGTTTTGTTACACATCATATCTATTTTTCAGATGAGAGACATGATGCTGGTAACACTGTACCTGTTGGCGTGTTTGCTATGTCACCCCGTCACAGCTGATACATCGGTCACCGATACAGGGGAATTGGAAAATAATGACAAGGACACTTTAATTGTCACAACCATAAACAAACAAGAAGTAAGTGAAGACTCGAAAACGGAAAATGTAAATTTCGATACCAACAATGACAAAGTCGATACCGTTAACACATTGTCTGTGACAGACGATGATACAGCTTCTGTCAACACCGATAATTTACCATCTAACAGCGATGATACAGCATTAGATAACAACGATGATTTAATATCCAGCAACGATGACCCGACTCCTAACAACGATGTTACTGACACTGTAAACAGCGACGGTTCACCGTCTAACAACGATAATGATTCTGCCATGGTTAACAACGATGACATACCATCAAGCAATGACAACATGTCTAAAGACGATGATAAAACATCTTCTAATAATGACAATACAAACAACGATGGCGACGTCAATGATGATGCAAGTATATCTGGTGACGATACCAATGATGAGAGAACTGTTAATAGCAGTGATGATGGGAACGACGGCAATATATCCGCTAATAACACTGATGGCGACGATGTTACCGAAGATGATGACAAAACTGAGAGCGATAATGTTGACAACAACGATGATACTGACAGTAATGATGTTGACGACAAAAATGATGACACTGAAAGCAACAATGTCGACGACACTGACGATGACACTGATAGTGATAATGATGACGATAATGATGACACTGACAGTGGCGACAATGAAAATGACACTGATAGTGAGAATGATGACGACAATGATAATGACACTGATAGTGATAATGATGACGATAATAATGACACCGATAGTGGCGAAAATGATAATGACACTGATAGTGATAATGATGACGATAATAATGACACTGACAGTGGCGACAATGAAAATGACACTGATAGTGATAATGATGAAGATAATGATGACAATGATAGTGATAATGATGACGATAATGATGACACTGACAGTGGCGACAATGAAAATGACACTGATAGTGATAATGATGACGACAATGATGATGACAATGATAGTGATAATGATGACGATAATGATGATGACACTGATAGTGATAATGATGACGATAATGATGACACTGACAGTGGCGACAATGAAAATGACACTGATAGTGATAATGATGACGACAATGATGATGACAATGATAGTGATAATGATGACGATAATGATGACACTGACAGTGGCGACAATGAAAATGACACCGATAGTGATAATGATGACGACAATGATGATGACAATAATAGCGATAATATTGACAACAGCGACGATACCGACAGTGATGATGATGACGATGATGACAATAATAGTGATGATGATGACAATGACACTAATAGTGACGATGATGACAATGACGATGACACTAGCAGTGGCAATATTGAAAATAATGAAGATACTGGCAGTGATGATGATGACAACGACAATGATGACAACAGCAACAGTAACAACGATGATGAAAATGACAAAGATGATAGCAGTTCTAGAGAAAGCACTTTTATTGTCAATTCAAATGTTGTTGCATTTAATGAACCAAACATCGATGACGACGATGATGACGACGACGATATCAATGACTCAGCGCTCCTTAGTTCGATGGAAGAAATAACTGACCTTAGTGAGATAATTACTGAGCAATCTAAGAAATCAAAGGTAGTTGATACAAACATCGTAAATAAAGTTAAAACAGACTCGGGACAAACAAATTTACTGCTGTCTGTTATTTCACCATCCAAAGGAACCTTGATGACACCTCCACAAATGTCTTTGGCCGAACAAGTACAGACGAAAACAGCCTCTAAAACCGGCAACAATGGCCTCATCACACCTCTATTTGACGATGCTTCTATGTTGAATTTACTTCAAGATTCGTCTTCCTCAGGAAGTGAGTCATCAGTATCTACTTCCAATGCGTTATCATCCCTACAGACAAATTTTCTGTTACGGGATCAAGCAGCAGTTTCCAGTTTTGTGGAGTCTCGACAAAGTGGGTCTTCTGAATCTGCAGGCGCCAGCTCGGTCCATGAATCAGACAGTGATGATAATCTGCTTGCAAAAGCACTAGGGTTAAAGCCATTGCCTTCGTCAGAGTTATCAGGCGGCACTAGTAAAGATGAATTCGAACTGGAAAATCATTTAGATTTTAGTGCAAATAGGAATGTACAAGGTCAATCTACAGCCACACAAGTCAGCCAAAATTGGTTAGGTCTATCGGAACCGGACAGTGAAGCCGAGGACCGTCTATCAGCGTTTGTTGACAGTTTAAGTCCTGCTCAGTTAGACGCCATGTTGGCGACAGACGACCTGACCAACTTTATAGATCTTGATAGTTTTTCTGCTGCCGAGGGAATACCTGTGGGTGCTTTTGAAGATCCTTCTACCTCAACTGAAACCAGCTCTGACAATGATCTCGATATCCAAAATATGCTTTCGGATTTTGGAATCACTTTTCAGCAACAAGATTCGTCCTCATTACTAGGAAATGCAAATGAATTTGGTCGCATGCTACAAACGTCGTCATCTGTTCCAGTGTCCACTAGCAGGTCGACGGCCGCTCAATCTAACACAAGAGGCATTATGTCACAAATAGCTAGTGGCGTGTTCCAATCTGGGTTTCAACCGTCACCACCTGCTGTGGCATCAAATCGAGGCACTGTTTCACCACCTGCTGTGGCATCAAATCGAGGCACTGTTTCACTAGATACCTCCATATCAACGTCCCAGGTACCAATTGGTGCACTCGGATCAGGAGGACAAAGGACTGGAACAACCCAGTCTGTTTCAAGAAGACAGAGCACAGGTGCGTTCGAGTCACGATCGCAAGTACCAATTGTTGTAAGGCAAATTGAACGTCAGTCAAAGCCCATGAACTTTCCATCGCCAGTCGGGTCACAAACTGGCCAAACACAGACAGGCCAAGTCGTACCCTCCTCGTTACCTACACTCTCAGAGATAATATCCTTTATCTTTGATGGCGAGCCTGTAAGGCAGGGAAATAGTGCACTCGGATCAGAGGGACAAAGGACTGGAGCAACCCAGTCTGTTTCAATAAGACAGAGCACAGGTGCGTTCGAGTCACGATCGCAAGGACAGCGTAAAAGGGCGTTCTCGGAAACGTCGCAAGGAGACAGGAAAAGTGGTTTCCAGTCAGGACCAATAGGACAACGAATCGGAACCTCAGAGTCACTATCTACAAGACAAGGTGGTAATTTCGTGACACGAACACTAGGACAGAACAACAGAGTGTTTGAGTCGGCATCATCGGGACAGGGTTCAAATGCGTTTGAGTCAGCTTCTTTAGGAGAGGGAATGGTGGACGGATTTGATTTTGCATCACTTGGACAGGGTACTGGTGCGTTCCGTTCAGCGACATTAAGACAATCAGGGCAACAAAATACACGAGGAGGTAACGATGTTTTAACTGATATTGATAGAGATAAAACAAACGTGTTAACCTATCTAGAGAACAGAAACAGACTCGCCAAAGTGAACAGACAAGATTCCAGTCGGATCAGCACGTTTGGAAAGTCCAATGCACAAATCTCTCTAAGCGCATTAGTATCCAGAGACGATGCTAGTGTCGATTCATTCTTAGACAGTTTGTTGGAAAATGACCGTAATTTAGAACTGATTAGTGAACTTTTCGACGGCCTGAATGAAAACGAAGACAATGTTATAGGGGTTGGTGGATTGAGTGAACAAGATTCTGATGATGTGACTGATGACAGTTCAATAGAACAGAAATCTGACGAAAATGTTTCCGGTGAACAAAACTCGGGTGAATCAAATGAAGATGATTCAGCCAAGGACAATGATTCGAGTGAAAACACTTCAAATACTTCAACCTCAGATGAATCAAACGAAAATGATTCCAGTAATGAAAATTCAGGTGAAAATGACTCGAACACTTCAGACTCATTCGAATTAAGCTCAAGTGATCTTGATGATCTCGGTGATCTGGATCTGGAATATTTAGATGAAGATGATTTAGATGAGCTATCAAAAATCCTTGATGGTTGAAAAATTAACATACCTAATGCCAAAATTGATTGAATGAAATCAACATAACGAAATCTAAGATCGATTGAATAAAATCGACCAAACGAATTTTAATAAAAATCGTTATAATTAATGCTTAAATTTATTGAAAGAAATCAACATTAAGAATTCTGTAAAAGATTGCTTCATCGTTGATTTGAACGTTCTTAAATACGAATTCCATTCAGGATTGAAATATTCAATATTGATGAAGCCTTTTACACTTGTATAGATGTTCGTTTCGATATAATTGGAGTTTATATAAAGTACGTTCACAAACGCTCCTGTATCGACAAAAAGGGTGTGTTTTTTTTTTTTTTTTTTTTTTTGTAAAGTGAACAATCTCAGACGAACCGTTTTCATATTTACAAGACATCCGGGTTTTAACTAACTATATAAGCTATTATATCTATGAAAAATTGGAGTTTGAAAGAAAAGTCAACCCTTTCCAAACAAGCTACTCAGAAACGATTAATTTAAATCTAAATGTTGAATTTTAACAGGAAAATGATTGATATACATGTAAATTGGAAATCAGTATATAGAAAAAATTAAAAGTACAAATATACTTGGAACTGGCACTGAATTTGTATACTAAGCACATCACATTACGGATTTCAACCTAGGTTCTAGAGAAGTTAATGGTCTTCAAATAGTTCTTCTATAGTACAATTTAGTATTTTTGTTATGAAAAAAAATATTTAAAGAAAATCCTTTGCAAATCACTTATTTTGTTTTCTCCCTATTTTACCACGAAGTGGGATGCGTTTAACATTGGACATGAAGCAATGTTTAAGTCTTGCGTACACCGTAACAGGACACGTTCCCTTTGGCTAAGACGTCACTTCTCTTTTCACACCATAGTTATCTAGTATCCTTCAGAAGTAAAGTAAGATTAATGGGTCTATTTGTATTTCATCTTTTTTCCGTGAAACAATAACTGCCTTAAATGAAAGCCCGGTGATAATCATGCACTACACATAACATCTCCTAACACATGAAATTCCGCACCCCCGGGGTTGGTTGGTTCAAACTTACCAGCCATATGTGTTATTTATCATGTTGTTTGTCACGCACAGACACTCACACAAAAAATCATTCTTCAACATGAGTCACTTCAAAATTAAATAAATCAAGGAACGGTTTGCATCTATTTTCACTATAAGAGTACATTTAAAACTACGGATTTTCAAATTTTCCCTTTTTATATGCAATTGTTATACATATAATAAAGTAGACTTTTCATTTAGCTCCTAGTTCGCATTTTTTTTTAATTCGTAACTCCATATCTAAATCAGTTACATTACCAGATAATCACCAAATTATTGTGGATTTGATGATATAATATCGATGTCGTTCCCTCACCAGTGTATCAAAAAAGCACGCACTAACATGGCGCAGTAAAATCGAAGACGTTTGCGCCAGAGTTGGTCAAGTCTATATTGTGACCGAAGAGACCTTTTCCTTATATCGTAACAATACCGACGCAAATTTTATCAAATATTGGACTGATTTCCAATCTTGGTACAGAAACAAGTACGAATACATTTTTGAAATGCATATTGTTTCCTCGGCAATCCGATTACTTAACCAAATTTGATTACATGTATACTAAATATGTTTTCTTCGTCATCAGAAATCATATTGTACAAATTTTGTTTCGGAACAGGGGAATCGAAATATTTACCAAACTGTATAACTGGTGCCCATTTCCAATCTGACAAATAAAGATTTTTTCAAATATATTAACCGAGTTGTGTGAAATTGATGTAAGTTTTTTTTGTGTCAGTGATCAAACACGACCTTGTGAACGGTTCATTACTCTGAAGCTTCCTGGTGGATCCTGATGTAACCGATCGCAACAGGTTGACTCCATCAGAAGATAAATATATTAACTGATGTCCTTCACATAATTGCGGTTTCATATTTACGTTTAATTACCGCACGATTGGTTAGGGTCAAGGATTGTATGAATTTAGACGAGAGTTCAAATGTATAATCAACAGTGAACGGTGCGGCTGTTTAGCCGGTTGGGAGATGAGAGGGTCGTTACAATTCTCTAAAATTCACACCTGTTTTTCTTAAAGCGTTCGGTTTATATCTACAGTTGATCAATGACATTAATTTGCATAAATGACCCGAATGCGTTGTGTTTACGTGACGGTAATCAATTCTATATGGTTTCGCTCTATTTGATGGCTGTGGTATCATTCACTCTTCATGGTCCAACAGAGACGTCAGGAGTTACATTATACTTTACGTGTGCATGTACACAGATAAATTACCAGCTATAGAAAAAAGGTAACAAAGCGCTATATATTTTTGTAAATATATACGGGTATAAATGTAGAAGCAGGGCAAAACTAAATATAAAAATATGAATAAAATAAAATAAATAAGCCAGTTTTCATTTTTTAACGAAAGGTACGTGACTGACTGGTTAGTTCCATTGTGTCAGTGTCTGTATCACGTTGACCTTTCAATACCCATTTATTGCATTGTGACGTCAGCATTATTGTGACGTCATTTGCCTTCATCAGCTCATCGCTGCACGCGGTGCGTAGCAACGTGAAGCGATGGCGTCAAAAGACAAGAAAATCGCGCAGCATCTAAATTTCGTCCATAATGACCAAATATGGTAGGTTGCCTTTTATATTTTTTTGTTAAATTTCTTTATGCAAGTTACTGGGAAATGCCTACAAAGTGTATGTCATGGATTATACTTCATATTTGACAAAGACTTCATTTTTGTGCATAATTCCAATGGCATAATTTTTAACTGAAGAACGGGGTCCCTTTTTACTTAGAGAGCTTAATTACACATTTTGTAGAAAGCAAGAAACCATTGTTTCCACATATCTGGCATACAAGTCGTCGTTTTGTGTGAAGCCTCTTTCTTGATATCATGGATCTGCAGACTTATGTAGTGAAAGGTCTCGATTAAGCGGCGGCCAGGAACACAAATTCCTCACCTACGGTCTATATATCATATATGGACTCGCAGGAACTATAATACATATACATGGATCGTGGGTTGGGAATTCGTGCCATATGCAAGTCAATGTGTGTTAAAGACGTGGATTATCATGACAGAGATTCGTGTTCGATTCCTGTCGGGAAGTAGTCAAAAATGTTTTCTCCTATTCTATTACACAGGTAATACATAGAACAATCTCATTCCATCTGTTATTTGTTTTAAGGAAGGATCATGTTCGTCATGAGACTATGTCCCAGAGGTTTAGATGGCCAGCGAAATGGGGTTACCTTGTACACGAGTACGAGTCGGTAAGTCATAAACGAATAACACAGGACGAGGGACATGTATATGATATGTATCCAAAATTCGACGTCGTTTCAGTATATAAAGCTTATCAATGTATTCTACTAAGTAACAACGATTGTTATTCTGTTTGTCATAGTATGTGACACTCGCTCTAAACGTTTAAAACAAAGTTATATTTTTAAACAATTCTGCATTAAAGGCACCAATATTCAACAATTATAAGAAAAAACACATGCTATCTTATGTTATGAAATATTCCGTAGGGGAGAGCAGCACAGGGTATCTTAATCAGCATTCCGTCGGGGAGAGCAACACATGGTATCTTAATGAGAAGCATTCCGTCGGGGAAAAACAGCACAGGGTATCTTAATGATAAGTATTCCGTCGGGGAAAACAGCACAGGGTATCTTAATGAGAAACATTCCGTCGGGAAAAACAGCACAGGGTATCTTAATGAGAAGCATTCCGTCGAGGAAAACAGCACAGGGTATCTTATAAGAAGCATTCCATCGGGGAAAACATCACAGGGTATCTTAATGAGAAGCATTTCGTTTGGGCAAAACAACACAGGTTATCTTAATGAGAAGCATTCCGTCGTGGAAAACAACACATGGTATCTTAATGAAAAACATTCCGTCAGGGAAAACAGCACAGGGTATCTTATTGAGAAGTATTCCGTCAGGGAAAACAGCACAGGGTATCTTAATGAGAAACATTCCGTCGGGGAAAACAGCACAGGGTATCTTAATGAGAAACATTCCATCGGGGAACACAACACAAGGTATCTTAATGAGAAGCATTCCGTCTTGGAAACCAACACAGGGTAATATTCCGTCGAGCAAAGTGTACGTCATGCTTTCATACATATACATTTGTACTTATGGTGTCTAATCATATTCATTTAGTTTTGTTTCTTGTGCTAAATCATTGATTTGCATGTAATCCCTGCTAAAATGTACTGTACATGTACATAGTACATCTAATGTTTAAATCACTTAATTGAGGCTAAGTTAATTCCAACGAATTCTCGAAAACAATGTGCTTTCTTCACATCATCATATAAAACGTATTTGGAAAATACATTATTTCAATAACTTATATATTGCACAGTTGAGTTGCCAATTGCGAGGACAACCGACTCCAGTTTGCCGGCCGAGGACGCCCTACAGTCCCTACAGGAACAATAAACTTCCTCCTATCAACAAGCCTAAGGGCAGACAACTCGACTTTCCTGTAACAACAACCCAACAAATCGGCTGGAAGGTCACGAAACCAGAAGATCAACTTGAGATATATGGACCAGACTCTCGTGGGCAGTGTGGCATCCTTCGGTTGCTAAGGTGGCCACAGGAGAGTGCGCCATAGAAACAAGAATTGAACACCAGGTTATATAAAGTAATCGGATATTTTTGGAAAGCTTCCTATGAATAAATATACAGTAAATATAATTTGTAAATAAAATAAATACATCATAAATTTATCATCACTATTATATCACCGTCTGTCTTGTGTTTAACAAAGACCTTGGCCTACATAATTGGATGTATATACGAGGTCAAGGTCACTGCTTCTAAACGTAATTGTAACGTTTCTGCTGCTATTATCATTAACATGATTTTTCACGAGCCTTCATCTCAAGGTCACAGGAAGATGTTTTACGTCTGTACATAACAGACGTTTTCTATTGCTTGTTTGATGCTGAAAATGAATACCCGTACACAGTTCCAAGTGTCTATATGTCCATGTACGTCCGTGTACACATGTATCGGTGCATCTACACGAGTCGGGGATAATCATAGTTGAACTATTTGTTCTTTATGAGAGGATGAACCCTATTGATTTTCAGGGTCAGTGGTCAAAGGTCAAAAAGTCGATGGTTACCATTTAACATACACATTTTGAAACAAAACTATTCACGTCTTCCCCTACCTGTGTTTATCGGCCAGTAATGCCCTATTTCCAATAAGTTACAGACCAGGTTTATTCTTAGTCCCTTATCGCCTTTTTGACGGAGTTAATTGGACCTTTGGAACAAAGAAAGTTCACCTATCTCTTTTCTGAATTTTTTTTCAGTCATGCTTACTTATATTGTATCTATGCGACTTTTTAGTAAAGGGTTTCAGACCTAGTTGATGTTTTAGCTGATTTAGACAGACAAAGTACTAACCTTAAAATTTTGAGTGGTTTTACATTTAGAATCTACATGTAATTACATTACACTAAATATCTGTATACAATTTCCATTTTTCCATCCAAACGAAAGGCCCAATGGACCTGCAACGCTCACTTGGTATTTTCTTAATTTTTTAAAAATTCAGTATGTAAATTAACAAACACAATGTTAATGGGCCTTAATGGTAATCTGAGAATAAAAAAGGCTAGAAGTTATGTAGTAGGTCAACCTCATTTCTTCTCGGAAACCTTGTCGAGCTTCATCCTCAGAACATACCAGTCAAATATCATGCCTACAAGCCTTCCATTTCAATGAGAAGTCATTTAAAGTTTTTAAAAATTTTACCCCTGTGACCTTGAACATAGGTCAAGGTAATTTCTTTTCGGGCCAGGTGAGCTAAAAATTATTCCTAAGAGCAAACTCCATTCAGTAACTTCAGTAATGCAACAGTATATTGTAGGGGTGAGAAGGGAGGGAATATGTATTGCTTCCAAAATGATCAGCATGCTTGTTTGCTTCAGATATATATAATGAGCAAATAAAATTGCCATAATTTCATTTGCTCTGTGACACTGAATAAGCAAGATTGTACAATTGTAGCTCCTATGTCAGATTTATATATGCAAGGGTATGTTTAGCATTGTAATGTCAATTTTTTATCCGGAATTGTACCATTTACATGAAACTACATTTGCTATTATCAATTAAAGGACAAAGGTTAGCAACAGAAGTTGAAATAAAGTGAAAACATATCTGTCAAGGAACAGATTACAGACATCATAGAAAATGTCAACAAATTTATTTGTTCTGAATTTTAAACCTGACACATCATGGTATGTAAAACAACTAAACTTAGTGCCAACATTTCATCTTCTGTATCATTAGTGACAGTGACAACCATGTTTAGATATATACTACCAACAATCATGTCTACACAGGCTGAAGAATATATTAACAAGAGGTATTTCAATGTAGATGTAATTTATCATAATTGTTTACAAGTTATGACAAAATCCTTGTTCATGCTTCCTTGACTGACATTTGAGTGAAGACTGAACCTCAAAAAACCACACTCCATTTTGACATGGAGTACAACATGTTTCTGGTCCATGTAACACTAGTCTTACTACAGAAATGCACTCTGAGATTCCTTGAAGTCCTCCATCTATACATATCATGAAGCTTTTTAATAAATTCAAGTAACCAGGTAACACAAGTCTGAAATATAAGTATCAATTTTCTTGCTACATCTGCAAACTACACATAACTAATCATCCAAAATGTTAATACATGTATCAAGTCTTCAGAAACAAGCACATGTTCTAACTTTTTCTAAGTCAAGTTCTAAGTCAAAAAGAAATGTGCTTACATTTCATCATAATGTAAAAAGTCAACGATGGATTTTAACTGTCATGACAGATGAACTTACTTTTCATTACAAACAAAAGATATTTGTAATGCTAAATGTGAACCATGATATAAGTTGGTTTTTAATTTTCTTTTTTTCAGTCAATTCTTGAATCACTTGCTATGAAAAAAAATTGTAACAAATTCCTCTAAATGAAAGAAAACTCCAACAAATTCCTCTTGAACATCATTTATAGTTACTTTGTCTTTACAATGTTAGATCTGTCACAAAAAAAACATGTATAATGATGGTCTAACATTTGAAAATGTTAGATAGAAATAATGAAAAAACAAGTTGGAATTGTAGTTGAAAATTGCAATATATATCAAAAGCATCGTTTATGAAATGCTGTGTTTCACATATAACCACTGCATCATGTCATTCAATGTGCAACTGCACTAAAGTACAATGGATTAACAGTTATCCCAACCCCAACCCAAACCCTCAGCCCCTTAAAGATAAAATGAAAACAAAACACATCCATTCTATATAAATTACAGAGTTTTATATGTGTTGTCAATGTTATAACAGCAAAAATAATACCGTATTACTTCAGTGAAACTTCCCTATATTCAACTGAATAGGAATCAGAAAGACTTGCTGAGATCAATTTCCATTCTGTTTGATACAGAATTAATAAGAAAAGTGACAAGCATTGCACGTTTCATCTTATTAAATTAAATTCAAATTCAAATCCAAAATAAATCCCACATTCAACAGAAGATTTACAGAATCACAGATTCTGCAACAATGACCTGTGGAAATGATGAAATTTCTTCGATTTAGAAAACAGAAAGAAATTTGTGTGATCCCACATTCCAGTAAAAAGGAAATTCAGCTGTCATCTTCTTCACTGTCATCACTCTCATCGTATACAGCGACTTGCTGTCTGTTAATGTTCACAACAATGTCACACTCATTTTCTTCATCAGAATCATCACTTGGAGGTAGAAGATCATCTGGGATCATACCATCACTTTTAGTCTCTTCACTATCCTGAAACGCTGCAGGCCTACAGGAATGTACAACAATCTCATTAACAATCACCAACACTCAATTAAAAAGTTAAATTAAAAATGATTAAAACATGTGTCACAAGATTTTATCTGATTATGTATCTCTCCTTTAACATCATTTACATATAAACAATAGTATATATATATAGACAAAAACAGTTTACATACTCAAGAATGCCCATGTTCCAAAATTGTGGATTGAAACATCTAGATATCTGACAACCTCCAAATTTTAGCATTCATATTGGTGTCTTTATGTATGAATGACACATGATAAAATTATCTATAATTAACAGACAAATATAATATGAAATAATTGTGAATCTGTGATGTGCATGGAATTTAGTATCATTAAAATAAATCACATAAAAGTAAGCAAAAAATTTATATAGGTTTTAACATTTTTTAAATTAAATTGTAATATAAAGAAAAGTAATGATTATGTAAATTTCACGACTATAATTATTTACAAAACAGACAGCTTTCATAATATTATAACAAAAAGATGAAATATGGACATTGAAAGGACAGGCAGATAAATGAACTCTATTAAAACTCCTAGATATCAAAATCAGGACAGATTAAGATTTTAAAAATATTTTGACCATGTCAGGAGCAATCACTTGGTATAAACATACAAGTTGATGTATGCTACTCCAACCTGCTTACTTCAAGTTCTTGTCAAACTTATTCAAAATGTTAAAATTAACAGAAGATCACGTTGAGTTTGATTCTACCGAAGCATTCATCAAATATTATTGTATTTGACAATTCACGTCCCCTCACCTTGTGCAATATTTTTATATCCTTTATCAAGTATATTTAAAATATCATAAAAGGCACACAGTCAGCGACGTCTTGTTTCCTTTGGTGTTTTTCACCATCAAGTTTAAATAGAACTTGTTTGGCCATTGCAATTAAAATAAAATGACATATTTGGCATTTCTCAGTGTTATGTATCTCCCTACGACACATTCTACATACCATGATATAATCACTTTGTTTTTCTATTGTTACTTTGATTCCAAACTTTGTCCAAACACTAGACTGGAATAATAAGGGTGTTATCAAAACTTCTTTTGCATCCAACACTTTTACAACACATACCCATGACAACGATTGATGATTTCTCTTACTTCTACCATAAAAAATAATTTCGAATTTTATATGTTAATGCATTAACACACAAATGACATGAATGCATAATTTTAAAACTAAATTGTTGCAATGTGAACAGGCTTTTAATTGCAACAAAATGAATTCTTGACTGTATCATTCACATCCGATACAGCAGCAATTCGATAACCATATTGTAGCTTCATATCATGATGCACAGGTGTATTGTTACAACCCCTAATCTTTACTTGTACTATTATGTATGAACTGATAGATTCCAGATTTACCAAGTTGACTTGTACAGATATCCTACTGATACACAAACTTACCACAGTCCTTCCTGTTTTATGTACTTTATCTGCTCTTTGTACAGAATTGTAATAATTTCTGCTTTTACTTTGTCACCCTCCTCAATAGGTTGCACCAGGACAAAGTCTCCTACAAAAAAGGTTCATAGATTCTTCATTTAAATGAAGTTTTTAGCCCTTATATTATGATATACGAAATTCTATAAATATTCATCTACTTTAAAAAAACTTTGGACTTCAAACCATATTTCAAATTATTAACATGCTGTTGACTAATTATCATGTTAGTAACATCAATCAAAAAACTCTGAAAAAAAGCTTGAAAGATGACTTGTGGTTTTAACAATATCACATCTGTGATTGTTGTAATCTACATGTAGACTAAGCTTCAAATCAATTTCAACAACAAAAGTAAAAATATGTAATTTTCTACACAATAAATAAAAACAGTTTTACATGATGATCAGTCACATCTGCAAAACCAATTTAAATTAGAATTAAAAAAAGAACAAGTTTAGGCACAACAACTATGTTGATAATGGCAGAACAAGGGAGGCAACTGCATCTTGTTGAAATCATACCTCTTTTGATCCATACATTTTTTCTGAATTTAGTTGGCATGCTGACTAAAAACTTTTCTTGATTTTCAGATTCCACTTCATGCAAATTATTTCCTCTCCCTGCTGTGACCTGCAATATTAAATAATACATAAATAGGACATGTTTGGACAGTAACGTTGAATGTGCTTATTGAAAATACAGGTTTTGCCTGCAGAACTATTCAAAGTCATTATATTAATAAACCAAAGCATAATTCTAAATATTTGTATGAAACTGTTCTAATTCTGACCAATGTAAATAATCAATATTGTTGCCAAGTACATGCAAGTCAATTGTATAATATGCTATGCCGGTCATGACCAGATGACAACTGTAATATGAGCGCTGATTGATAAGTTGTGAGCCTTTTATTAAGAAGTTAAGCAGGGATGCCCTTTTTCAGCTCTACTATTCCCTGACTATTCAAGGCTCTGTACCTGAAGTCTGGTGTCATTCTGTCAGTTTATGTCGAAGAGGTAGCAATTTAAAGTAAACAAGGCAAGTGACATTTGCATATTTGCATCATAAGAAAGGTCTAGCACCTAATGATATCCATACTGATATGGTAGCAACACTTGGGAATGATGCCCGTTCATATGTTACCATGAAAGGTGGGTTGTGGAATTTAACCCTGCCTTGGGGATGAGGCCTGTCCTTGAAAGCCTGTCACTGTTGCAACCCCAGAAATTGTCAATGAAGTCCATGATATTGTTATGACTGACAGGGGAGTTATGGAGAAATGTATAGCTAGTACAGTTGGGATTTCACAGGAAAGAGTATATTCCATTCTTACGAAAGATCTCGCAATGAGAATGCTCTCAGCCCGTTGGGTACCAACACTACTGACAGTTGACCAGAGGCATACCAGGCAGACTTTGCCTTATGCTTATCTAAACCTTTTAGAGGCAGATCCTGCTAACTTTCTGCAGAGGTTTGTGACAAGCCAAACAACAGTCTTAACAATGGAAGAACCCTGGTTCACCCTACCTAAGAAGGCGAAGAGTGTTCCATCAGCTGGAATGGTTATTGCCTAGGATGCTGATAGTATTCTGATGGTAGGTTATCAGCAAAGGGACAAAAAATCAACAACACATATTATGCATCACTTCTTAGGCAGTAAGCCATGAACAATTCATTGTGCCTTATTCACCTGATCTTGCTCCATCAGACTTTCATCTATTTCCAAAATTGAAAAAGTCTGTTTCTGGTACCCACTTTCAGTAAGATGATAACATCATACATGCAGTGGAAGACTCTCTGAATGGTCAAGAAAAGGACTTCTTTAAAAGTAGCATTGAGGCCCTTAAATTTCCCTGGCAAAAAGCACTGAAGTGTTAGATACTGAATGGGATTAAGTTAAAAAGTAATGCAATATGTAGGCCAAAAGTCAAACCTTTTAATACAAGACTCACAATTTATAAATCAACCCTCGTACCTCACCTCCAAAACTACAAATATTTTCAGGAAGTTGTGAAAAGAAATAAGCTGAGAACTTTAAGGCAAAAATGAAAATGTAAATTAAAAAGCAATTTTATTTGTAATATCAACATGGTTAATTATTAAAATTTCAAAGCTTATACTTTTCATTATGTTTATTCTTCATAATGTACCTTTACAATTTGCTGGCTGCCTTCAGGGAGGATAAATTCATCCAGAACTTCCTTGGTAACATGTTTCCTCTTTGTAGCTTTTGACATCTCTTAAGTTAAAAGAACATTCTTCTGTAGCAACCAGTTGAAAAAAAATACCTGAAACAAATTATAAGGCATTCTGGAGGAAAGTTAGCTTTGTCTGTCAATAAATGTACATGCAGTATATCTGTACTGCATGCCAACTCGCTCATTTTACCCAAGTCAACACAACATTTAGACTGATGTGAAGGACTCATCTGTCAGCTTATCCAATAACCGACATTTTCTTTCAGGTTGACTTGCTTTGGAACACCTCAAATGCTATGTAAGGCACTCATTTATAGATAAATAAGAAGTCTCGTAACCAGACAAAATATGCAATTATCAAGTGGGTGATTGAGCAAAACGAGGGTAGCAGACATGGCATAATGAGGAAGGCACAGAGACTTTTCTTGCCTAAAATATTGATAGTTTCCTCCTGAAATATACTTATCTTTATGATTTAATTGTTAAATACTTTGAAAATCATAATTTAAATGACTTAAATATGCCTAGTCTTTACCACAGACAAAGATCTATCACAGTGTGTGTTGTTATTATGTTTATAAAAGTGTTGTAACACATGTGAATAATTTTTCTTGTAAAACACGGCAGCTCATGTAACATTAACATATTGTTAACCAATTGAGACAATCTTAAAAATATTTTTTCCTGAAGAAATATCCACTACCATTTGCCTATAGTTTCAGAGCTTGAAATGAGATTAGAACCACACGTTGTCAAGGAAAATGCTGCTTTGACTGGTTATTTTTAATGTTTCTTCTTCCTTTTACAAGATACACAGCAAAGCTAGATGCTACAATAAGTGAGCAATACATGTAATAGAAATTGAGGAAGGGAATCTTAGAGTATGGAACTAAACAATGGCAATGTCAATTTAATTTTTACATTGGTATAACTAACCATTCACAGTGTTACTATCAGCCAAAGCTGCCAGCTGTTGCTTATATGCTACAGAAATTATGTACAAAATGCAAAGGATAAAGCACTGTATATGATTTCTAATGTTGGAATGTTGGCAACACTGGTGTAATGAGGACGAGTTCGAGACACTGACATAGTAGAGGTGGTTGTTCTTAATAATTTGATTTAAAGTTTAAGACATATTTGCTTTTCTCACTCATAGAGATCGTCTGTATACAATTATTAGTAATTCAAGACATTTTTATGTTCGTGACAGTGGTATAATGTTCTATGACCAGTAAATTCAAGTGAGCTTTCTAATTATCATCAATCATGAATGAGGTTTACCTGTACAAGTCAACCGCGCCCGTTAAGTTTTCTTCGCTGTTGCAATACTGTCAGCTGAGTGTTGTGCAATAAACCTAGTCGGAGTTTTCTTTGAACACTTATTCACGAGTGGTAGTGAAATTATTGTGAATGAATATGTGCACGACGTGAGATAAATCTGTTGTTCTCCTGATATCAATCGTGTTAATTCAGTTAAGTAAACCAAAGTTAGATCTTTCATAAACCAACGATAGACACTAGTAACACGCTTCCGCTCTGAAACTACGGTCAATCACACGCTTGTAATTCGGCTGTTCAACTCGCCATGGATTAAAACGTTTTTATCACCATACAAAATATGTTCTAAATTTAGAAAAAAAAACACCATGTGCCGAGTACATTTCCGGATTTTGAAACAAAATAATCATACAAAGGACAACTCTTTTAAAGAAATCTAAAGCTAAGTGAGACAGTCTAATGTATTTATTAATCGATATTCTTATTAATTTTAAAAATACGAAATGTAAGAAAATATTCCATTTTCTTATATATATATATATATCTTAGATGAGCATAATGACAAGAGGTTGAATGAGCTAGCTCTCACAGACCGTACATATATGTATACACCATGTACATGTTAATGTACTTTTACCCGACGTGTTAATATCTTCCAACAAGTGAAATAGTTGTTTCACGAATACTTTAAGGTAAAATGGGTTTACCTAAAGACCTATTTAACCGATTTTTAAATTATGTATTTCCATTGCAGGTCCGTTGTAATTTTATATTTGATTTTGGCAAGTAAGTCAGAACGCTTCTATATCTTCTTACACATATAAAATCCGGATTTAAACCTTCGTATTTTCACCGCATATGAATTTCTGTATCTGTCAGGACATCAAAGTAATGTCCTCACAAAAATGAGATATAATGTTCCCGGACACTGTTGAGATAATAACCTTGTCGAGGTAATTTGATAGAGCTCTAGTTTTCTTGGCACTTTGTGCAATTCAATTTAAGTGACCGTAATTGGTACGTGTCTATACAGAGACTCCTGAAAAAGTACTGGGAGAAAAAAACAGGTGTTCTGGAAGTGTAAGCGTCTTGTGCTTCATCGACTACACCCGCCATGTAAAATTTGGTAAATCCAAGTAAGTAATGTCCCTTTCGCAATTGAGGACAAGGTATACAACGAAAGCAACAGGCGAACTAACGAGCATCAAATACGTCCAGCTTCATGTCACACAAAGAAATGGAATATTTCTCATTGGGATCACTATGGCGACCATAAAGCTTTCCCATAAATTTCATCAACCTACTTCTTTTGAACTCTTGTGTTACGAGTTTGTCAGTCAGTTGATGACTTCTTGCTCGAAAATCGTGATAATGGGAACAGGCCCTTGAATATCGAATCAACTGTGACATATTACCACCAAAGGTTGGAGTTGTATGGATATTGTTATAAGGAAACGAAAAACTCACCATAGGAAAATTGAAATAATCATGTTTGTCATACAGCTTGATGGAAAGCTGTCTATATTGGTTTCCTTGTAAGAAAAGATCGAGATAAGCAGCTGATGTAGAATAGTCTGTCGTGTCTTTGATTTCCAGCTCTGGTTGATATATACGATGGACGTAGTCAATATATTTCTTGTTGCTTGAAGACCTGCTCTGATAAGCTCTTCAATAAATTCAGCCTCATGAAAAAAAAGAAGTCGGCCAACAGAGCGGCGCAGTTGGTTCCAATAGGTGTGCCGATAGTTTGTTGGAAGATCTTACAACCAAACTCGACGAAGATCTTGTCAACCAGAAACTCGATCATTTTTATGATTTCGTTATTCCGTATATTTTTTCTTTGATTTGGACGTAATGATAACAATAAAATTTCAGAATAAATCAAACCGCAAAAATATATCAGCACGATATGTAGGTATTTTCTTTTACTAATATTGTTTATTCGCAGTTCTTGTATTTCTAGCTACAAACACATATGCATATATGTGCATATGGGAACTGGAAGGGTACATATTCCAGGACATAATGACGTAAGTGTGCGTTCTATCGTTAAGTAAGACATTTAGATTCTAATGGTTACAAATATCTTTAGATGATGCACGGAATATGCCTTCCCATAAACTGCAAGAGAAAGAAATTTTCAGTTTGACACGCGTTCTATGTAAAGGACATATGTAATGCCTGTCCCGGCAAAAAAGGTAGGTTTATGCGATAGACTGGTCAAGCCTTCAGCGCGCCACTTGTATCTGATAAGGACGTATAGCTTGGCAGTGTAGACGGACACGTGTTAGTGTGAGGTATCAGTTCCCAACGGACGGTGAAATGGCAGCTCCCCTGTTCACTTTCGTTGTAGCAGTGCTTGGAGTGGTACTCCTTCAAGCGTCAGCTCAGTCAAGTACAAGTAAGCCAACTTTGTTAAAGAAAGGAAGTTCTATATTTTCATGTAAATGACCCTTCATTTTAAAGTACTTTTTTTGCATGAAATATGGACATTTGTATGAAAATAGAGTTTGTGTTTCCAATACTGATGAGGTGTATTGAAATTTCCAAGCTAGAAATTGCTTTAAGAATTGCTGTGACGCGTCCAAATTGTGTTGAACTTAATTTTGATGATATAGAACATACACCATATCTCAATCTGGTATTAATGATAAAAAATTTGGACATTTGAATCACACTAAGATCTGTTGGTGGATCTTTTAGTCTCAGAGGTTTACCGTAGCCTTTCAGTACACGACTAACATTTAATCAATATTGCCAACGAGTTGGAATATATGTTTTGATAAACGAGATTGATTGAATCATGGAGTTAGTGCAGTCCCCTACTATATATATATATATATATATATATATATATATATATATTTTAAATAAATCTATTTTGAACAAAACTTCTTAACTGCCACAATTCTAGCCTTATAGCATTATAGAAGATTAAAGAAGGGCGAAATGGATATTGGATTAAGTTTCATTCATTACTCGGAATACACTTGACTGTGTGTTGATGGTACAACATACAAGGTATTTTAGCATATACTTTGTTTTTGAAGAGACTCTGAATAATCCTTTATTTCGTTCACATTTTGACCTCGTTTCATCAACTGAAGTTTAGGTCAAACCTTTGTGTTTAACATCCCTTCAACAGCTGAGGTCAAATGAAGAGAGGGTCTATGAAAAGATGTTGGGAACGATATTGGTGGCCATTTAACGTTCCATACAACCGAAAAGTCAAAACCGGGACACGCCTACTAGTAAGATAGACAGCTCATTTAAAGACGCCTATCTAGCAGTTATTGGTTTGGCTCAGTCACGAAACTTATCTCATGACCTTCCTCAGTTAGGCTGACGCTAAACACTGAGGTGAAACAGGAATTTTGACATTATGAAATCAAACACAAAACAAGATAATATCATACAGAAAGAATGCAACTGAGGGAATAGAAGTGTGTTTGTATGTTTCCTTATACCAGTGAGATGTAGAATTATAGTATTTTACATCCAATAGTGGACGGAGTTCACTGGTTATTACGTCATGAATTTATAATGCATTTATATCAGTATAAAACCTTTTTAAATTTCAGAATGTACCGAAAAAGCCGATATCGTCTTCATTCTTGATTCCTCAGCTAGCGAAGGCTCGACGAATTTCCATAAGCAGCTTGATTTTGTAAAGGATTTCGTGCGGCAGTTTAATGTAGGTCCTGACAAGACACAGTTCAGTGCTATCACCTTCTCAACTAACGTTAAAAACAATTTCTGGTTAGATGAACACCAAACTCAGACATCCGTTCTGTCGGCACTGAACAACGTCGTGTACAACTCTGGAATTACCAACACTGACAAAGCATTGGATTTCGCCAGACAGAACTCGTTTCTCCCAAGTAATGGCGGACGTCCAGACGCCGAGAAGATCGCCATTGTTCTTACCGATGGTCAGTCAACAAGTCCTTCAAAAACGTCAACTGCATCAGACGCACTTCATCACAGTGGGGTTGAGGTCATTTCCGTGGGGATAGGAAATGGAATTACACAATCAGAACTTGCAGTGATAGCAAGTGACAGACAACATGTTTTCCAAGTACAATCGTTTGACGCTTTACAGTCTATTCAGACGGTGCTTACGAACGCCGCTTGTCAAGCTCCTACTGCAGGTAAAATCTGCGTTGTGTCGCAATGTCCTCACTTGCCATTCCATAACGATATATATATATATTTGTTTATGTTTTCAATCCCCGAAACTGTTAATAGTTATTAAAGAAAATTCACATTTTGAATTATGTATATCATTGCTATACTTGTCTGATATACTGTCATTGTAAAATAATATGTTCGTGTTCCTTTCTGATTTCTCTTTACACGTGATCTCGTCATTGTGTATCAGCGTGTGGTAAGAAGAAGGCAGATATCGTGTTTGTACTCGATTCCTCCAGCAGCATCGGGTCAACCGACTTCACAAAACAGTTGGAATTTGTCAAAAACAATGTCCGGCAATTCGACATTGGGCCACTTGACACTCAGATCAGTGTTGTGTCGTTCTCCGACAGTGTATTTGATGAGTTTCATCTCAACCGATTCTCTTCCAAAACCCAGGTACTTGGGGCTATCTCCGCTATTAAATACCACACTGGTACAACTTACACCAATCTTGCTCTTGCTCATGTCAGAAATGAGTCTTTTACTGCGGCCAGTGGTGGTCGACCGGACGCAGCCAAAGTTGTTATCGTCTTAACTGATGGACAGTCAACTTCCGGTCAGGCAACTATAGTCGAAGCTAACAAGTTACATCAGACGGGAGCGGAAGTAATCGCTATTGGTATAGGATCCGGGGTCGACACGAGTGAGCTAAACGCTATCGCTACAGACCCTGCTCACATGTTTGAGGTACAGAACTATGACGTATTGTCGTCCATCCAGCACAGTCTTGAAGCAGCCACATGCCAAACAAATGGTAAGAATTGTATGTAAACTTTGTACTCACATATTATAATGTTGTTTTTAACTATATATCATATCACATTTGATGTACTTAAGAATGTGGAATTAGAACTTCAATCGGGACAAAAAAGACAGTTATCGTTTCGCCCAAATGAACCTGTGTTGATTGAATGTTCTCTGTCACAGAATGTCGTGGACAGAAGGCCGATATCGTATTCTTGCTGGATTCCTCTGCAAGCGAAGGAAATGAGAACTTCGACAAACAATTGGAATTTATGAAGAACTTCACTGCGCAGTTTCAGATAGGTCCAGACAATGTACAAATGGGTTTGGTCGTTTTCTCGACTCTCTCGAATAATGAGTTCTGGCTAAACACCCATAACGATAGTGCCTCTTTGGAGAACGCAATAGATAATGTAATGTACTTGCCTGGAAACACGTACACAGACGAAGCGCTGCAGTTCATCGTAAATAACAGTTTCACTACTGCGCATGGCATGCGTGACGACGTTCCTCATATCCTCGTAGTGATGACTGACGGACAGTCTCATGACGCCGCGGCAACAGCCAGTACAGCGAAGCTCGTTCATGACGCAGGCATTAAGACGGTGGCAATTGGTATAGGAAGTGACGTAGATAAATCTGAACTCGAGGCCATTGCAACAGATGCTGACCACATGATCTTAGTACCAGATTTTAATGCCCTCGCAACCATCCAAACAGAGGTCGAGGAATCTACATGCAAATGTAAATTTTTATCTTTAAATAAATTTTCAATTGTAGTTACATGTTGTTCAAGAAGATCAAATTCGCAAATAATCACAATAATCTGCCTGTCATTGATTAGGTACATACGTACTACCCTGCTTCGAATGCTTTCTCTTAATGAAGATTGATATATAACCTGAAATATGTTGATAAGTTTTGTGATATTTACATCATTGTTAATTTTTTTTCACAGCAGAAAGACCAGACCAAGGTAAGCGCAAATTTTGCATGTAGGTGTACTATGATAAACTTTGATTCAATTTACGCAACGACTTTAAGATAATCAATAGAAACAAACGAAGTCAGTATTTAGAAACATGCAACTGTAGCTCAGCATACTAATACTTACTACATCTTAATTACATTATTTTAGAATGTGGAAGCGAGCCAGCCGACATCGTGTTTATATTGGATGCTTCTGGTAGTGAAGGACGAATCAATTTTAACAAACAACTTCAATTTATGGGAGATTTTGTGAAGCAATTCCAGATTGGTCCTCAAAATGTCCAGGTTGGTCTTGTTACATTCTCTACGACTGCTCATAATGAGTTTTACTTCAATACGTATCACGACCAGGCTGCGATTTTGAACAAACTTAACAATGTGCACTACTCGGGCGGAACAACACACACCGACCAGGGGCTGCAATACTCTCGTCTGTTCCATTTTTCTTCCACATACCATGGTGCACGCAGAAATGCCCAGAAGATTGCTATCGTTATGACTGACGGACAATCGTCCAGCGAGTCAGCTACCAGTAGACAAGCACAGTATCTAAAGGACCTAGGCGTGAAGGTAATCAGTATCGGAATAGGGTCAGGGATAGACAGCAGAGAACTCAATACAATCGCATCAGACAGCAGCCATGCGTTTAGTGTCAGCAGCTTCGACGTTCTCAAGAGCATCGAAATTGAACTCAAGAATGTGGCATGTGGATGTAAGCATAACAATTCTTATTACAATACAGTATTTTGGTTTTACGGTTATCAAACTGGTACGTTAAAATTACTATATTTTTGGAACCAACGTCTACAATGTGTCAGTAGAATTTTATTTTAGATTTGTTAGTTTCCAATAGGTTTGAAAATTACTTCCAAAATCGAGGTCTTAAATACGTTAATGTAGCAGTTACATAAATGTTAAGTGTTAATTGTTGTACCTACAGAGACTTCTTAATTACCGTTAAATACATATAGTATATACCATTATTGTCAATGTTAATTTCCTGTGAGACGAGCTGTAATCTTTGTGCAATACCTTATGCTACTGTCTTTTGGAATTCCATTTTATGTGTACTTGCACGAATATATAGCCATTGTATTACCCGCAGATAAAACCATTTAATAAGAAACATGTGAGAGTAAAACGTATAATTTTATACTTGGCAATTAAGAGATTCTGAACATTTTTTTGTTAGAACTTTATATGTTTCTCTGAGTAGTACCATTGTAGAGTGGTAGGTATAAAACCATTTAGTTTGTAGTTTCAAACTGTCGTGTTTGTGAAATGATTCTGTTGTATCTTATAATAATCTATGTTATATCCGCATATTTCGTTCCCAAATGATGGAATTTTTAATTATGAAAAGATTGTATCTCTGTGCAGATAACCAGATATTTATGTCAATCATAGATCCGATATTTCGTCTCTTCTTTTTTATTACTACACCTTTTCTGAATGTGCTTTAAAATGACAGAGAATTTTATTCTGCGCCAAAATATCATCAGAAAACGTTTGAAATGGAATTCATCGAACAGGTTATCGTATTCGTGTTAGAACAGGCAGTGCTGTCCGTTATTGTAAATATTTCATGGTATTATAGAACAGTTTAGCTGATACAATGTATCCTAATTTTTACCTCCATACGTTTCTTTCAAACCCTACAGCTCCTACAAAAGCGCCGGCTGTTGATGAAAGTAAGGCTATTTACTCCATCTCCCGCCTTTGATTTTTATATATATTTGCTTTCCAATCGTCATTTTCTACCTGGTCCTTGTTTCCTGTCACTTTCCTTTGTTGTTACCTGTCCCCGATAACTTTCCAATTTTATCATTGCCCTTTTGGTATTTTCGTTTCTCGTTTTTGTCCGTTCAGTTTTGTGTTCATATTTCCAAATGTGCTTGTTTAATTTTTTTTTAATTTTCAGCTAAGACTTTGATATGAAATGCTGAAAGTATTCTAATCCTTGTGGTGCTAACGATATGCTGGCATATCGGCAAATCTGATTACGGAATAGAAATTGAACAAATGGTTTATCATAACAATACATTTGTATTTACTTTGAACGCACCAGGATTATTATGTAAAACATGCCATTATTACTGTCAAACAAATACTTCAGTAATCTATACATTACATTAATATTTTGGTTGTTTAGTTTTTATTTAACCAAAGGATACAAAAAAGCAACCATTCTAAGTGGTTAAGAAAGTAAACGTCACTTAAATGTAGAATGACTATCGTTTGTTTATTATTTCAGAATGCGGACAAAAAGCAGCAGACATCATTTTCCTACTTGATTCATCTGGAAGTGAAACGAGGACAAACTTCAACAAGCAGCTGGATTTTGTGAAGAACTTTGCGAGTCAATTCCAGATTGGTCCTAGAAATGTGCAGATCGGCGTTGCCACGTTTTCAACTCACGTAGACGAGCAGATTAAACTGAATGCTTTCGATGACCAACAGGCTCTACTGAATGGCATATCCCATGTCTCCTACGACGGAGGTCTGACGTACACCGACGACGCTCTGAAGTACGCCCGACAGACTGGTTTCTTGCCAAGCCATGGTGGTCGGTCAAATGCTACCCACATCGTAGTTGTGATGACCGACGGTCAGTCGTACAGTTCTGGATTGACGAAGACACAAGCTAATCTTCTGAAGAATGTTCCTGGCATGAAGGTCATTTCAATTGGAATTGGTAGCAATGTTAATCGCAATGAGCTTCTTGAAATTGCCTCCGATTCGTCCCATATGTTCGAGGTTGCGAACTTTAATTCTCTGTCACAGATTGGATCGGAAATCACTTTTGCTACATGTAACAGTGAGTATTCTTGTTATCTGTAAATCCATGAACATATTTTTCCCAGTAACTACGTTTTTCTAAGCTATGATAATAGCATTTGAATTCATTTACTTTTTGAAGTGACTTGTGTTGACCATACGAAAATATGAATAGAAATTGTCCATTTGTTAAATGTTACGAATTACACAATGACTGATTTTCTGTGTTTCAGCGTGTGGGTATGACGACAGAGCCGATATGGTATTCGCCATTGATGGGTCTGGGAGTGAAGGCTCAACTAACTTCCAAAAGTCACTAGACTTTATGGCTCAGTTCGTGAATTCTTTCCCAGTTGGCCCTGGACATGTCCAGTTTGGGCTTGTCACTTTCGGCACACACGCGGTGAATGAATTTGACTTAAATCAATACCATGACAAAAATTCACTACTATCGGCCATCCAGAAAGCGCACTACGACTCAGGTACTACGGCAACCGGCGACGCCCTTAAGATCATTCGGGAACATAGTCTTCAAGCGTCAGGGGGAGCAAGACCGGGATCGCACCATTTTGTAATTGTACTGACAGATGGCGCATCAACCGACTCATCCGAAACAGCATCCGAAGCTGCAAAGCTAAAACAAATCGGGAATACAACAGTTATCTGTATTGGAATCGGTTCTAACGTGGATAAAGCTGAGCTAAATGCTATTGCATCTGACAGTCGTCATGTCTTCAACGCGATTGATTTCAATGCCTTAAGTAACATTAGAAATGAAATTCGACAGGCAACATGTGATGGTATGATTTTTATAGTCATTGCAAAACATTTCTTAAACATTAAAGTTGATAAATCAATCAATTCTAAATGACAAATATTTATCCATTTCATTCATTATTATTTTTTTTTAATTAAAGAGCTGTTTGAATTCTGTTTTTAATTTTTTTTGCGGGGCACTGTCATTTGTGTTCTTTTTTTTAAATCCCGAATCACATTTGTATTCCGATTTAACCTTAAAAGTATAGAGCCTATGCTTTTTGCCGATTTGAAGACGCCTGGTTCGCCTCGGTTGCCATATACTAAGCAGTCGTTTTAACGTTCCTGCAGTTACTGTTGTCTGTTCGTCTATGTGATATTTGGCTTTTGCTGTTGCTTTTAACGATAACGCTACACAGCTCTGAGTGGCACACTTACAACAACGCCCGTACCAACAACAACACCGCCAACTACAACAACAACACCAACTACAACCACAACAACCCCAACTACAACAACTACAACAACAACGTTGCCAACAACAACTATGCCGGGTAGGGTATATGTTGCACTTGCTTTCATGTTAATAGATTTCTTGTTTCACTTTTATGCTTGCTTTATGAAACAAACATGGCCTCTTTAATGCTTGAACATGTGTTACCTGCATTTTTAGCCACTACCACTACAACTACACCAAAACCAAGTAAGTATATGCTTGATGGAAGCAGAGCAGTTTGGTATATACATATTTTTTTCATCACAGAGGTATGTAAATAAATCATTTTTATTTACATTTTCAGTGCAAGAAGCATGTAAGTATACAAGGATGAAAACATTACTTTTATGTATATTCAAACTGAAATATATCGTAGAAAAATTGGTCGACAAGGTATGCTATCACTTTCGCATTGATGGCCACTTAGATGTTAAAGTCCAAACTCCATAAATGGCGTTAATACAATTATAATTTTACCTAAATGTTGAAATTTTCAAATTGATTTTACTGCAAAGATATGTATTAAGATATTTTTTCAACATGTGACAAAACTTCATAAGGTAAGTGTTGTCTATAGAAACCAGAAAGGAATTTGCATCATTTCTATGTATAACACGATCTAGACGTGATTGTCAAGTTATATACTGACGCATGATAGAAAACGTCTAGATACTATGGAAGTCCAGCTAATGATACAGTTTCATGATGCAGACTGTAGTGGACATTCTTAATAGGACAAACAGTGGCCATGTATATCAGTTACATTTGTTGGTACGAGGCGCCAAATGTATATCAAACTTCAAAGTACATAAGGCATCGTATCTGCTAGAATTTGTAGTAAAGATATTATAATTTTTACATGTATCGTTACTGAATCATCATTTACTTCATTTATTTGTTAATTAAGTAACAATTATGATTTCATTACCATTTTATTGGAACAAAATGATTCTGTTAACTCTGTACATTATGTTGTAATTTATTCTCAAGATATATCACTATGCTCGTCTTACATGTTACGTTCAGCTACCACACCGATGCCCATAACCACTACAGTGCCCACAACTACAACCACTCCAATGCCCACAACTACAACCACTCCAATGCCCACAACTACAACCACTCCAATGCCCACGGAACCACCAACTACTGATGGTAAGGCCTATAAAAGAATCATTATTATTTAATTTGGTATCAACATCACGTTAATATATAAGAATTGTACAAACATACGACATTGAATAGCCACTATTAATACAATTTTCAAATAGAGATTTTTACAATCGTGCCTTTATTATATCATGATGATGATGATTCTAGTATTAAATAAAAATAGTAATTGTTAATTGTGTCTCTCCCTAATGTTGGCCAAAATGATAAGATATCATTGTCACGGATCGCAAGTATTTTTTTCTTTTTTGCAATCATTTGTGTTTGGAGTTAGATATCAATACCATTTGTTACAGGTGAAATATACGTAACCGATCCACCAACAACTACTCTTGGATGAAAAGGTAACGTCTTGTTTCTCATGATACAAAGATTTTAGTATAGATAAACATAGTTTTTCTTTACTCGTTGCCTTAACGTTCATTAAGTTAATCACTTACATTTGAAATCGACTATTACTAGGAATGCAAGCAATGTTGATAATGATATATAGTTAATAACTAGAATTCAATATATAAGACCTGTAAATCCTAACCTTTCAAAGATGTAATTTGTTAGGTAAAGTGAGATACGTTTAAAGATGTCGTTATGACTTTTTATTTTCGTATTTCAGTTGAGGACCTTAATCTGGTTTTGAATACAAGATTAATTTTGTAACAGACATTTTTCAAATAAAACGAAAAACTTATTTCTGAGTTAGTTGTACATATACAGATTATTCCGGACATTCTAACTCATTGTGTTTCCTGACGGCCTGCAATCAATTGTTTGTGGAAGTTAACAGAAATCCATATGGTCACTCGGTCAACCGCAAGAATGACGGATGGACTTAGGATCGCAGACTTACTGCGTATTCACTTTACAAAACGTTATTACAATTGGTATGATAGAAATGTCGTGGAGCGACTTTCTGTTAACTGTAAATTTTTCATTTGGCAGTATAAGTTTTCTTTTCTCGACTCCATTACCATTGCTATACATGTAGAATTTGATTCGATACTCAAGGTTTTGGTCCCAATATCAAGATCATGATGTATCTAACAAATAAATTCACAACACAGAGTTTAAAGAGATGCACGCTGATGAAGGTTATCAAGAGTACTTTGGGAATATGTTATTGCATTGTGAGGTATAAGAAGGACGTGTTTAATGTTCATTTGTATGCATGGTGGTTCAATTGTTTGTTGAACCTGTTCTTATATGGGAACACAACGTTACTGACATCGGTTTACCAACATTTACATAACGGTGTCTTGGACGCTTACACTTCCAGAACAACTGGTGATATTATCCTTGCACTTTTTCTAAATTAATCTTTCTGTTGTTCATGTTATATCTTTCGACTTTTATTAAAGATTCAGAGTAAAGATTCAGCTGACATGTTTTAATTTGATTTGTTTCCGCCATTTTTGACGAGGGAATGAAATCATGAGGAAGAATCATATTATGTTTTATAACGTCCGTAAAAGTTACATCTTTTTGATACAAGCACATGAAAATACGAGTGTTTTATCTATAATTTTATACTAAAAGAAAATGCATATCTATAGGTTAAAATTACATTTGATATAAGACATTTCATTATTATTGTGATTATGCAAAAAATTGTTTTAACGCGAGTGTCGTCACAATTGTTTTTCGTACGGTGGCAATCACTGTCTATTCCCTCTTACTGTTGACTCCAACAACTAGCTTATTGTTCGTAGTGGAACTCCAGTTCAGAATGTATGCCGTGGTGTTTTGTTGCGACGGTTGATAGGTCTTCTGATCTCTGTTACCTGTACCGCGACAAAAATCTCAGGGGACAAATTGGTGCATATGTCGAAAATGGATCATTCGTTTTATTTGAAAATTTCGAAAGACGTGGCAATACTTTGTCTACACACAATATATTTGCCTGCATGCCTCTGTCATTTAAAAAGACCCTTATTGGAAAAAAATCCTATCCAAGACCAGAACATTGTTGTGTTTAATTTTATGTAATTAGTTGTTGTTTCTATGTCGTTGTGAACGCCTCTCTATCTCTACATATTGATTATTCGGAACTCATATGACTGAATAATATTAATTCGGGACCAAAACCTCGAAAATATGAAACCGTCGGTTGCTAATGTCTTGAAGTTCAGTATTTACGCTATGAATCTTTGTTGAACCATGTTTAAAAAACTTCAGGATATTTCATGTACGGTCGACACCATTTTATAGCTTTTTCGCCAGTTTTACATTTTCTCTATTTTCTCCATAAATGTCCATGACGAATATGCACTGGCGAATTTCAAAATGTTTACTTCGAAATTTGCTCATGACATAATTAAAAATGTTGTTTGATATATTGTCAGCATCATGATGTTTTGAACCTACCAAATCCTCGCTCAAATTCATTTTTCAATAACAGTTTCATTTGTTTTATGTAGCGGGAAATCATTATAAGAAAAAAATATATAGTGGATTTACGGTTGCATCTCATCTTAAAAAGCTACATTTGTGGCCTGGTTTTAACAGCAACAGCCACAACTATCACAACTTACTCTTATGTGCTCGAACACCGTTGATGGCCGATGGGAGATAATTTTGGACACTCCAGGTAAATTTACAGGATAATTCTGTCACATAAGATCATTGTAACGTGGAAACACACAATCTGACAAAACCTTGAATGAACGCTAATGAACGTCAACAAAAAGTAGAGCTGAAGAAATAGAGTGCGGCATCTCCAAAAGGAGAGTGAAAAAAATAAGTGCGAAATTTACACAATTTTTATCTTTTAATTTCAACTTGCAGGGAAAAATGTCACTAAATGAGGGTACAATAGTTCCTTAATGATTCGATATTCAATCTGAATGATGTGCACTACTAAATCGCGTTAGGATTTATAGCACGAGAATCACCATGATAATGTGTGCTGGACATATGCATCTACAGAGGGTTAGATCATTTACTGATCCATAGAAAAAGAAATAAATTTGCGATGAAAATCTTAATCAGAATCAATTAATGTCACGTTAAAACGTGAAATCTTAAGCATGACAAAGGCAAAATAGAAGTTTAAATTAACAATCTTCACCCTCATATCATTCATTAAACAAAACACCATTAAACACAATTCATGTTACGAGGTGTAAGACTTTCATTTATCAATATATTTAAACGCTTCTAAATATACTTTTTAATACAATATTTACAAAAACAAAGCATATGAATTTACTACGCACAAATTTGCTGTCGTTGGAATCGTACAAAAGACACACATGCATGCCACATTTCAATATAGAAGTGGACACTGTAGAGCCAAATTATGGATTAAACTGCCTCATACATTATGGTTGCCCATGATGATTTAAATACACCATTTAGGGACTGGAATTTACGTTTATGTTAACCATACTTTTATGGGGCAATTCCGTTAAGAATATATTCTACGGGGCGGGTTAGCGTGATATTGTGTATGGTGAAATAGTCAAATATTCAATATAAATATATTTATCAAAGCACTTAAATCTAAGTGTAAAATTACACTTTAATCGAATATTAAAAAATGTAACCTGTAAACTGACCGTTTATTTTGACTCTTGAAACCGACGGTTTTACAACTTGACAAAAAGGCATTACGAAAGATTCTGTAACACGTCTTGCACATCACAACCAAATATAAAATGTGATATAATTGTGTGAACAAAATATTTCACCTTTATTGACAGAGAGTGATTATTTTCGCACTAGCAGTACTTTATAAAACTATTGGAGGAATAATGTGGAGGTGGATTAATATTGTACTATTCTGACGTGGCATCGTTTCTGCCGATGGAGAGCAGTCATGATAAGTGTCTTTTTCAACTTAATCATTCATGTTGATGTCGATGTGTCCATATCCGAAATATGACGACCTGGACTAGACACGGACTTGACCTAGAAAGATAGCAATATGCTGACAACACGAGAAGCTTGTCTAGTGCCTTGGTACAGTCTGGGTCAGGCAATATGAAATCTTGTAAATTACGTTCGAATATTGACGAAATAAGAAAACAAAACAATGTCAGAAATAAAAATGGAGCCAAAATGCGCATCAAGATGATTTCGTACATAACTCCAAAACATTTCAACATTAAGAATCTGTCTACTAGACAGGTTCTAGTTTTGTATCGGCATATGTTTAGCTATTCGTTATGTTTGGAATACCTGTCACTGGAATTCTGCCTTGTATTTGCATAGTGTCAGTCAAAGGCATTGATAAACCATCGTTATCTCTTCGTGTTAGGGATCAGGAATCAAGACAAATTCAAGATGGCGGATTGCTTCAAATGCAGCATTACAGTGCTTTTGATAGCCTTTTACACATCCTTGATTAATGCTCAAGCAACACCTGGTAAGGTAGAACACGCGCGTTTTATGTAACAATGGATATTTAAGTGTGATTGAAAAGCAAATATGAAATATCAGGCTAGTTTGCATGTTTCATGCAGCCTGTTACTGATTTCACAGATAAACATTTTATCCATTTTTCTCATTATTATTGTAATAAATGGTAGTCATGAGTGACCAGAAATGGGGAAAAACAGAGTTAGAAAGTTTATTGATTCATTTAATCCATATGATCAAATGATGTTCGTTAATCTATTTTTAATCATTGTTTACTTTCCACAATTTTTGCACAGTCCATTGCAATGAACAATAATTACAAACTTTCAACACTCGGCAGGCAAGCTCAGCGCATTTTCTTACCTTCATACCTTTATAGGAACAATGTGGCATCGAAAGCTCAAATGTAGGCGATGAACAAACCCCACTACATTGAGGCCAATGTTCTGAATTTTGTTAATCTTATCATCCTTGTGCTTACTGGTGTTCTCAGAATCATCGGGAAAAGTATTTCAATTCAACTCTATTTTGTTATTTCCATATGTTAATGAAGATTGAATTGGAAGCGATGGAGAGTAATACTGATGATATAAGTCTGTCAGTATTTCTAACATTTTTTTTTGCAGGACAGCTTGCGTAACTCCCTGATTGTTTATGTTTTATTTCTATAAGATGTCATAAGTTGTGTTCTTCGTTATACCTATTCTGAATCACTCTACATAACAGGGAATCGGGATTTTTTTAATTGAATACCTATTGTTATGTAAAACATTGTTTTATGAGGAGGAATATGATGTTAATTCATTTAGAACCTGTTTTCATAATTTGTATCATTAATGTTGTTTACCTGCCACCTACTCCTCAAAAGTTAGCGTTACTGCCAAGCCGTCTTAAAAGGACAAAACGGCTGTATCATGCAGTTTAGTTCATTCTTTGGTTCTGCATCTAATTCTAAATTATTAAAAGGTACTATTCACTTGTACAATCTTTCAACAGTATGGATATATATAAAGAATTAATAACCACGGTGAGTTTTTATCTTTGCCTCTAAGGAAACACATGTAAAATCCACAACTGTTCATAAAAACGATACCTGACCCGTAACTAATTTGCCAAAAAATAAATTGTGCTATCATTTTATCGTTTTGACAACTGCGTATGCGGAATTAATATTGGGTTTAAATTTCAAATTATTTTCAGACTGTCGAGGTCAAAAGGCAGACATTATCTTTTTGCTTGATTCTTCAACCAGCGAAGGCCAGCAGAACTTCAATCGTCAGTTAGATTTTGTGAAGAACTTAACAACAATTTACGATATCGGTCCAAACAACGTCCAGATTGGCTTGACGTCATTTTCATCACACGTGAACTATCAGTTTTGGTTGAATTCCTATCATAATGAGGTCAGTCTTCAGAGTGCAATCAACCATGTCCCGTACATTTCCGGCAACACGAATACCGGAGAAGGCATCAATTTCGTTACTACCCAGGGTTTTTCATCAACTCATGGCATGCGTACGGATGTTACACATATCATGGTGGTGATGACCGATGGTCAATCCCAGGATGGTCAAGGTACAGCAACAATGGCTGCTCAAGCACATCAAGCTGGAATTGAAGTGGTGGCGATAGGTATAGGCAATGGAGTGAGCATGTCTGAATTACAAGCCATCGCCAGTGACTCCAAGCATGTGTTAACAGTAGACAGTTTCCTCGCTTTGGCCTCCATCCAGCATAGCTTGGCTGCAACGACGTGTAACAGTAAGAGTTTGACAACATGGCAATACTGTGAATAAAACCTCAAAAAGAAATAATGATGTTGAAAATGAAATCGCAGAAAACCGGCTCATGACTTAAGTGAAAAAAAAGCATTTTCTCAAGGTTTTGGTAAAACCACGAAATTTTGAGCAATAGAAAACGTCAACCCTTACAGTAACAAAAGCTTATAGCTTATATAATATGTAACGAACCGATATGTGTACTCATATTCATTCAATTTATTTTTGTTCTTGTCATATTTCAATTTATTTTCTTCAGTCGCTACACCTGCGCCATTAACCAGTAAGTTGTTCCGAGTATTATTTACTAGAAATAAAAATAAATGTCTGTGTTAAAAATTGATGTGTAATTATTCAATCTTTCTTTCATGTAAAACTCATTTTTTTCACGACACTAAATACTCAAACACATATGTGCTACTTCATTTAATCATTAAAATAAATAATTATCAATAGCCATATGTTCTTACAAGGTAGCACTAGATTTATATGGGAAAACATTTCGAGCATTCAAACATAAAACGCAATACAACAAATATGTCTTAAATGAATTAATATGTGGATGTTCGCGTTAATTGTAGCCTGCAAAACTGCAGAAGCAGATGTCGTTTTCATCTTGGATTCATCTGGAAGTGAAGGACTACCTAATTTTCAAAAAGAACTTCAGTTTGTAAGTAATTTTGTGAATAACGCAAACATCGGTCCACAGAACATTCAGGTTGGTTTGGTTACTTTTTCCGATATAGTGAAAAACGAATTTTATCTGGACACTTATCACAACAAAATAGATATAATGGCCAAACTACAGAATGTTTCCTATAGAGGGAGCACCACGCATACTGAACTAGGACTGCAATACGCAAGGCTATACCAGTTTTCATCCAGTCATGGTTTACGGCCTAATGCTAAGAAAATTGCTGTCGTTTTGACGGATGGTCAGTCGCAGAGCCGCGCAACGACACTAAGTGAAGCAACGTTATTGAAGCAACAGGGTGTAACGGTCATAAGTGTTGGTATCGGTACGCAAGTAAGTCAAACTGAAATTGACGGCATTGCTTCTGACACCAATCATGTGTTCACAGTGGCTACATTCGATGCGTTACATACGATTCAGTCAGAATTGGAAAACACGGCGTGTGGTGGTAAGTGCAAATTCGGCAATACTTTTGTACTTTTGTAGGATTTTATCAGGCGACAGGCGAGTCCAGATTCCTTTTCCAAAATGTTGATGAGAGTCACAATACTTTGACATAATGTAGGTATGGTGAGTCCCAAAGGCAAAGAATGAGTTCAGGATTCGATTTTTCGAGTCCTATACATCACTGTTTTTGTACTCGGTGGTAGTTAACAGATAACTCATTACTGATTTTTGTTTTTTTATGATAAAAAAGACAAAGAACAATGTAGTTATTCAATTTCAATAGTGTAAGCTGGTATATGTTACTCGAGTGTTTATCTATGCCGAATTTCGTGTAGAAAAAAGAACTGTGAATAAGACATTTTCTCCACAGAACGGAGGGGAAAATTTTATGATAGGAAATATATATACTGTCATTACCAACTTCGATATTTGAACCTTTCATGATGGAATACCAATGTCGATCACTTTGCTGGCGGATATTTTAAAAATATGGTCAAATTCCGTGGCAATTTGTTTTTGATTTTTGATTATGAGTCACGGCGTTATCTCAAGTCGAAATTTTATTTTGTTGATACGATAATTATAAACGTAAGGACTGGTAAACCACGTATACATATACAAGTGTTTTGTTCGATTATAATCCTTTTTGAAAATCAATCAAAATTATCAGATAGTCCATTGCCAACTTTGGACCCTTTTTTCCCTTGGCTCGCAATATAAACCCTTAGCATCGTTGAAGAGTCCTAAAAGAGCTAAACGGTTAATTGATAGGGTTAAATACTTTTTTAGCTCAACAGTATATAATTCTAAATTGTATTGAAATATGCTCTTCACCTGATGGTTTTCTATACAATCTTGTAGGTACTGCTCCTCCCGTCACAACTGTCTCCACAGGTAAGTCACGTGACTGCTCATAAGATTGCTATTCCTTCAAAATCAATACCCGTTCTACCCGATTGATTTTTTCTGCTGATATCACAAATATAGTAGTATGTAGGTCGGATATTACGTGGGTGTTATGTCAATGTTGATATCACCGTGTCCAAGAAATGTAATGTTGGCGTGTTGTTCTTCACGTCATAAAAACACTAATTAAATAACAGATCTTATACATAATACGGAGAAACATGAAAACGATGCACACAGATAAAAGCTAACTTTCTTATTTCCACCTCTTGTTTACATGACAATAGATGAAATGTTGACGAAAATTTCCCCCAATACTTTCGTGAAATATGCACTTAATACGTACCTGTGTTTTACAGAATGTGGAACAAAGCCTGCAGATATCGTATTTATTTTGGATTCGTCTGGAAGTGAGGGCTCTAGCAACTTCAATAAACAGTTACAATTTATGACAGACTTCGTCACAAACTTCAAAATAGGTCCACATGATGTCCAATTTGGCCTGGTTACGTTTTCAATAGACGCTCTAAATGAATTCTACTTAAACACGTACAACAATCAGCAGGACATTGTAAATAAGCTACAAAATATCGCCTATATTGGCAGTACCACTCATACCGAATTAGGCTTACAATACGCAAGGCGATTTCAGTTTTCCGTCACTCATGGCGCTCGGCATAATGCACAGAAAATTGCAATAGTATTAACAGACGGGCAATCCCAGAGCCGTACAGATACAATCCATGAGGCGGACTTGCTGAAACAAATGGGCGTTAAGATTATCAGTATTGGAATAGGGAACGGTATCGCCCAAACAGAGCTTGTATCTATGGCAACGGACCAACAACATGTGTTCAATGTCGACAATTTCGACGCTCTACATACCATTCAGTCCGAAATAAAGGACTCTGCCTGTGGAGGTGGTGGCGGTAAGAATTACACAAAAAAACCGTCTCTTATTAGACGCTTAATCTAATTTTACAAACAATCACTTTTTTTGCTTTTTTGCTAACATTGAGATGCACCATAGTGAATCGTCTTCACTATGACCTAATGCAAAAACAAAAAACAAAAACAAAACAATAAAAATATCGAGGGAATATATAATTTCTATACCAATGTTTAAGCAATTTCTATCATCATCTGTTACCAACATCCATAATATTGTTTTTCCCTGTGTTTGTAAATGTAGTTAATCAATTAAAAACTAACTAATTTTCCGTTTGACATTCTACTATTTTTAATCTGCAATGGGAAATACTTATAAATAGAGAGAGATTAAACATAAATGTTATCAAAGCAATATCTTATTTAGCTAATGAAATTGATGATAATGAATTCACATGTAATAATGCTAGGTAATCACATGTCTTCTATCATTTAGGAACCTCACCAACAGGAACAAGCTCAGGTAAGATGTTACTAAAGGCAGTGTTGTTCATTCAGTATTTCTCCACTTTATTAACATAGTGATAACATTCTGCCTATATGACCTTCTTTGTTATTTGTTGGGCAAAAGATTTTTTTCGTTACTTCAAATTCCTTCATTTTTCGAATCGAATAACTCTATACCTTACTATTTATAGCAGGAGTGAACTCATGTGATTTTTTTTATAGTTTTTTTTTTATTGTTATTGCACACACCATAACTCATTGCGCCATTACATGACCACGGCTGTTATTGGGATGCTAACAATATTAAACCAATTATGACCAATTGGTATTGATATCGCAGAAATATATATGTATACAGACGGAATCTATTATTCTGTTTTTCAGCTTGTACAGCAGACGTAGTATTCGCCATAGATGCATCAGGTGCAGAGGGACCATCGAATTTCCAGAAATCTCTTTCGTTTATGTCTGAAGTGGTCAATGAGTTCCCCAATAGTCCTGGTGATGTTCAGTTTGGACTAGTCACTTTTGGAGCACGAGCAAGTGCCAGTGTTGAACTGTTGCAATATCATAGTAAATCGGCGTTAATCAGCGCCATACAGAGAACTCCGTATATTGGAGGTGCACAAGATTCGTGGGTTGGATTACACTTAGTGCGTACACATACCCTCACCCCTGCTAGAGGCGCGAGAACTGGAGTAAAGGCGTTTGTCATTCTCATAACCAATGGTCCATCGTCGAGTCATTCCTTATTTGTCAGAGAGGCAACCAAGCTACACCAAACTACCAATATGACAGGCATTGCAATTGGAATAGGAAATGGATTGAACATGAATGAATTTAATGCCTTGGCACTCGATGGTCATCACACCTACCATATCAGTAGCGCAAATGCCTTAACGTCCCTCAGACATATGATTCATGATGCTATATGTGCAGGTAAGTAATAAGATTTTCAACGATTACTGTAAACACTCTATAAAAGGTCGTAACTCACTTCCCCTTTGAAATAATTTTCTTAAGAGGCTCTAAGTTGCAAAATATAATTAGATATATATAATGATACGGATAAGGACCTCCCACGTTTAAATTGGATCTTAAACTTTACAAGAATCAGTATAAAACAACGTTTTGGTATTGTGTATTTCGTAAAATATGCGTCCAAATCAAAGAAAGAAACGGGGGACGTCATCATAGAAATGATCGAGTTGACAACATCTTCGTCTAATTTGGTGGTAAGATCTTCCAGTAGACCATTGACATACCTATGGGAACTAACAACCCCTCTGTTTGCTAACTAGTTTTTCATACGAGCCTGTATTTATTGAAGAGCTTATCAGAACAAGTCACAAAGACCTTGCAAAGTCGTTTAATTTCATCTTCGGATATATTGATGACATCTTGTCTTTAAATAAAAAGAAACTTATTGACTACGTCCATCGTATATATCCACCAGAACTGGAAATTAAAGACACGAAAGACTCGTTTTCATCAGCAGCTTATCTCGATCTTTTCCTACAACGAAACCAACATAGACAGCTTTTTATCAAGCTATATGATAAACGTGATGATTTCAATTTCCCTATTGTGATTTTTTCAGTTCCTTATAGCAGTAACCCTGTATCCCAACCTATGGTGTTAACATGTAACAGTTGATTCGATTTTCAAGGGTCACTTCCCATTTTCACGATTTTCGTGCAAGAAGTCGTCATTTGACGGACAAACTCGTAACACAGGGATTCAATAGATGAAGGTTGATGAAAATTATTGGGAAATTTTATGGTCGCCGTTGTGATATCATTGAGAAATATTCCATCTCTTTGTGTGACATGAAGCTGGAAGTGTCGTCGATGAAGCGGACGAAGCTTACTCTTCTGGAACACATTCCTTCAAAATTTTCAGGAGTCTCCTTGTTAATCTTTATTTTGTTCATATTTTACCCTAGTTTTATTGAATTCGAGCTTGGATTATAATCATATTGCCATGTTGGTATTTTCTCGATGTTTTTAATCATGCTCTTTTTTGCCTTTCCGATATAGTGATATATTTCCACCTTTCAATGAAATTTTCCTCATAATTATTGTCATTAGTTTGAAAAGTAAGAACATTTTCAAATTATGTAATCTGTGAAGGCATTATCATTACATTTTTCTTTTTCATTGTAGGAACATCCCCAGCACTCACTACTCCCTTACCCGGTATCGCTACCACTGCAATAGGTAAAGCCTGAAGTTATATGCGTGTGAAAGTTTGACTGCTTTGATCAGTTATTAGAGTGGTTAATCAATTCACACTGCAAATAAATAGAGTTCTGTTTTCCACAAATATTTCGTATCGCATTTCATCAGGATTATTTACTGGATAGTGTAATATAGTGCAATTTGCAGAGTGTAAAATATCTGTAGAAATATATGACATATTTTGTTTTCTGAAAAAATCACATTGCAAGCTTTTTTTTCTCTATATTGCAGACTCTTTCCACGTTTTCCCTGACAGTTCCAACTGAGTTGCTCTTTTCAAATGTTTGGTGTTGAAAAGGACAACAGCACTTCTTCAGATTCTTCTGATAGGTTCCTAAATTTAAAATTTAAATTTAATAAACAGCACAAGGGGAGACATAATTTATATGATCTTTATTTGTTTTTTGTAATGCAGTATCGCTGACCTGATACTTATCTATCAGGTGTTCAATAAAAATGGCAATATCGAAATAAAAGACGTTGACTTATTCGACACCTGTTGAGTGTATTACTGAAATACTTAGCCGGTGATGGTGAAGTTTGTCATTCCCTCGTCATATATAGCACTGTGAGGATGTTTGCTACCGCACTCGCCATTACAGATAGCTGTAAACAATATCACATTTCAGTCAATACATATTAATTTCATAAATGAAATCAAATTTGTATTTAGCTTAATAGTAGTCTGCCTTTAATATCAAGTATGGAAAGCAATTGTTTTTATCAATACTCCGTATTGTATCTGTTCATAGTATTATGAATATATCATAATAACTTGACTGAAACTTCTGACATTTTACCTATTTTAACGCCGTAGTCTCCCGGAATCCATTGCTCACAAGGTTCTTGAGTTGGATCACATGACGGGTCTGGCTCAGCTTTTAGAGAGAAGCTAGAGCTGTAGTTCCCTGGATTTGCAAGCTCATGGATGAATCCACTTTCTGCATTAAAACCAAAATCATTGCAAATATGATTCATAGTCATGACATACCTTATCGATACTAAATTATACTAAATGTTTTCCCAGAATTAAACAGTTAATGAAATAACGCCTTACCGACGGGGATACCATCAACAGTCTGTACTTCCAAAACGATCTCACCGGTTCCAGTTCCGTTCGCTGAAGTGTATCCAAAATCGATCCGGAATTGGCCTAATTGACATGTAAATCAAATATTAACATCTCCAGCCAAAAAGAAAAATATATAAAGGAAGGGACATAAACAAAACACCATCAGTGAGAGAAGCACTGAAATTCATATTAGAAAAAGTCTTTTTACAAAGGTATCCAATACAGTATATAAATTCATGGATATACCTATTTATAAATTATGTACAAAAAATCTTATCAGGTGATTGAAATATTTGAATAGACAATCCGTCAGTTTTATTTACAATTAATGGTCACATCTAATGTATGAAAACTGGTAACAATTACCATAGGAGTATTGACAATTTGCCTTAGAATAATGAAGAATTAAAATACGCAACAATACCTTGTGGTCCAGAGCTAGGTGTTACCGTGAAGGTTGTGATTTTGGCGTCTCCGTTGTCGTTGATTGGACAGGTTTTCAACAACTCACAGAAATAAATTGGATCAAGGTCGGCTCTGAAAAAAACACCTACATGAACAAGGTTGTGTTACGTCATATAGACGGTAAATTACCAATAGCTTACTGCTAGTTAATCCTGTCATAATCTCTTTCGTAATCCTGACTCGATTCAGTCGTATGAATTGTAACATATCAGAATCACGTGTTTCGAGGAAATAATATGAAATATATTAATTCGAGTGAACGGTATGATAAATTAATTAGACGTTTTAAATAAAAGAGTGCTTCTTTAAATGCAATCAAGCTAAATGTCAAATCTAATACGCAAGCTCCATGAAAAGGATTGATTAGGTTCAAATGAAAAGTATATTATATTGTCCCCTAATCATTTCAGTAACAAAACGTATACTTACTGCTGCAGAAGTTTGACGAATTCATCAATACCAACAATATCACAAAGGAGAACACACACTTCTCCCAGAGCTTTGCTTCCAGTCTTCGTAGCTACGGCATTGCAGATTTCTCCACAGGTACCCACAACTCCAGAATCTTTACAGAAAAGGTAAACTGATGTCATGCCCAGTATTTACAAAATGCTTAACAATTTTTACAGTTAAAAAGTACGAACAAAATAATTTTTTTGTAGGATGTTTAAAGGAAGTTGTAATAATCATTAGATAGACAAGAAATAAACAAAATTGCATAACACTTTCATACTACTATAATTCCTGTAAAATTGTTTTGGTGGTTCAAAATTTCGCAGTTTTACTACAACATGAAACAAAAGTATGACAGTTTTTCAATGGTGATATTGAAACAGACAAACTCAATTGCTTTCATTTTCAAGGTATGAGTTATTTCGCGTTTTAATTCCATCCTGGAAAATACCCCAATCCTGAATCCATCGAAATTGAAAGCATTTACTATATGTAAGTATTGCTGCTGGATTGATAGGAATAATATCACTTTAATATGAATATGTAATTACCGAATGAGATACTCACTGAGTATGATGTTTAGAAGGATATCGATTGCCTGATCTGTAAACTGGATACAGGTGGGGCATAAATCCACACCCAAACTGTTTCTATCGGGAACCGGTGCAAGTTGAGTGATGAAACTGTGTTTCCTAGAATCATCAAACGGGAGGGCGAATGCCTGAGACAGGAGGGCCACTACGGCCAGCAGGAGAAATGATCGCTGTAATATGTATATGGTTTTTAAAAAATAACAATAGCTTCAGAAGCATGTTCAAGTATGTTCAGAAGCATGTTCAAGTGTATCAGTATTTAAAACTGTATATCACATATGATTTCTACGTATGTATAAATTAAAGAATGTAAAGTTTTAGGTAAACAGAATAATGTTCAACTATGATTCTTTCTCTGGAGTACATGTAAGTAATAGGATAAACTCTATTAAACCAGCTTATATCACTAAGGAAGGAAAGAAATATGCACTCCAGACTTGGCAAGTGTTTTCTTATCAGTTTTTAAATAAATACCAAGGAGGATGAAACAATATGTTTAAAGTGTTTTCAGCAAAATGGAAAATGTCTCCGTGAGTTTGATATCAGTGTTAATAGAATAACTACATAGATGGTATTCCAATTATCCGATGTTTTTACGGACATCAACAAACAAGACATGCGCAGTATGAGATTGTTTTGTGTATTCTGTTATTATAATTCATTTTCATATTAACGAGTTAAAAAGACTATGAAGGAAGACAAAACGATCGAATTACAGGCAATCCATTACATACAACATTTCCATAGGTAGTAAGAATACCATAATAAAAATTGAAGATTGAATAGATTTTACCGATATATATATATATATATCGGAAAAATCTATTCAATCTTCAATTTATATATATATATATATATATATATATATATATATGGGAATGACATTAATGTGACAAAGCAAGGGAAATAAATCAAAATGTATTACAGTCATGAAGGCACGCATATAACACTCAAACAGTATAACAAGTATTTATTATAAATATGTAAACTAATTTTGGACGATAATTGTCATAACAAACAATTAATTAGATTAGATTAATTAAGCAGGTTGACCAAAAGTACAATTTCCAAATAACATGTCGTTCCTATAAAAATCTATAACTTATTACTTAATAACGTTTGCATTTTGTAAATGTATATTCTATAATCATACGAGTTGAGCTACCAATAAAACATTGGGTCACTACTATAATTACAATTCACTCATATATGGTATACAAAAAGAAGTATACATTAACCCCAGCAAAGTGCAGAGCATGTGAACATTTAAGCTTATTTAACCTGATTGGCATGTATAGCACATCAAGAAAATCAAGTCATCAAAACATTTCGCACTTTAAGGATGACATATGCTGAAAGAGTCTAGACGTTATTGACCTAAACCTCTCCATCCGACATATCGCATTTTACCCTATTTTATATATTCCTCTGTTGACATCATAAGAAGTCATTAATTGTTCATTAATAAAATTGTTACCAACATTGATATCTGTAGCTGAATTTTTTCATCATCCGTTGCCATTAAAAAACGATATATGCCATGGTTTGTTAATCACCAATATGTATTATACTACGTGGATAAAGGGTTTAGAATGTCAAGGACAACGCTATAGATATGGTATCTGAATAGGCCTTATCACATGTTATCGTTCCTAGCAACAAAAGACCTCTCTTCACGAACTGGATTGAAATCAGGGCAACTTCACCTACTTTTGATGGTAGCAAAACTCTCGTTTCCATAATGTCACAATGTAACAATGAGGTTAATAAATGCGGAAAAGTTTCAACGCACAATAACAGTCACTGAATTTCTTGACAAGATATCAACTTCCAGAAAAAATGGGAAAAAATGTATCATCTTGTTTAAAAAAAAACGATAAAGAAATTACAATCAAAGTGAATTTTCAAAATCAATATGTAATATGTTCTACATATTTTACTCAATCAACAATTGAAAGTCAAATAAAATTGACATCTTAACATACATGAATATATATTTTTCAAATTCATTTTGAATGAAGTTAAATATTTGATTTGAAAAAGTTTATTCTCGATTGAAAATTATTTCTAGAAAATATATTTAATGTTATTTTCATGATTATGTGGCTTTTCCTGATTTATCTATTTAATGATTTCCATATTTGGTCTGCAACAGTCATTCTCTTTGGGAAAACGAAACACGATTTCGTTTGTGAAGAATGTCATCACGCTTGCTATTAAATGACTACATACATACCTTCATGATGCTCGCTCTCAGCCAAAACAAGCTTCTGTGGGAAATAATGTGTGGACAGACAGTATCTGAATTGACATGTTGATAAGTAGGTTGTGCAAGATTAAGGATGGTAGATAATGAATGCTAAGTAACCAAAGAATCGTTCCTCCATGCACTTTATCCAATCTTGATACGATCACTTGCCTCATATCAGAGACACTTGAGACCAGTCTGTGATTAAAGGGGCAGAATTCGATGTGATGTTAAAACCCTTTAACTTCACATTAAGTGATATTTCAAAACTTTGCCGTCTTATCAATACATTTCAAATTTAATTACATTTTAACGGCATATTGATTTAGATGTTTTCTTTCATTTAATTTTGTCACGAGCGTGTCTCTATATTGGAGAAATGGGGGAGACGTTTGTGAGAGTTATTCAAGTTATTACTTAATATAATGCTCTTAAGAGTCGAAATGCCTGCTTATTTGAGTATCCCCTCATTTCACTCTAATTTTTCCCGATTTGTTCATTGTTTCTATGAACCGTGTTATATCATTTGCATTCAAAAAGCAAATATATCCCCTTTTTAATCTAACGTTGCAGGAAGGACATAAGTTAACCCGAATCCAAATACAGGATTTAAGGTTTTATACACTTTTGCAAAGTAGACGTTAATCAACATATATTTCGTAACACCCTTAATTACATGTTAACACCCTTAATTACATGTTAACATCCTTAATTACATGTTAACATCCTTAATCACTTTAAAGTGTCTAATCCCTGCATCAAATATGATTTGATATGGTTCTATTACTTATCGTTTAATCAGAAAATTACGTTTAAGGAATTATTTAATCGCCTCCGACAGTTTAACACTTTACTGTCTTGGAATCATTGACGAGTCCTAGAAGGACAAATAGTAGTATTATGCAGTTTCATTCACCATTAAGGTGTAGTATATCTTATTCCTAATTTATATTTGAAGGTGAATTCACTTGTGTGTATGTGTGCAACCCGAGGTCAATAACTAGATAATCATATATCGTATAGCTATGGTCAAGGACGCTCCTCCTTCGATCCGAAAATAGGTTTTTGATAAAGCAGGAGTGTCTACGTTAAAGGAGCATTAATGTCATGCACATTTAAACTGGCTTTTGTTATATTGGAAATATCTTCTGGCGTTTCGGTGACGACACTGTCATCTTCATCAGAGAAATGACCAGCGTGAAGTGTACTAGCACTGTCTTATGGAGTGTACGTAATGGCACGGAATCGACATGACTTTTTCGGTTATTCCATCATCCTATGTACATTGTGTTAGAAAATAGAATGTGACGAAATTGTGAAATAATGAATACGCACCAAACGCGCTGTAATCGATTCTGATACGCTTTGTTGTACACTTAACCATAAATGGGCGGCGAAAATGTGTGGCCCATCTCGTCCCTGATAAGTACTGGCCCGCTGCGGCGTATCCAGATGGCCTCCTTGACCAGCTGCCTGAAAAAGTTGTTATACCTATTATTGACTAATTTGAAATGTATCCAGTCTATGATATGCTTTTGCTGTTTTGATTGATCCACAAGTGGAATGATCTGTAAGTGGAATGTTCTGTAAGTGGAATGATATGTAAGTGAAAGGATCTGTAAGTGAACTGATATGTAAGTGATATGGTCTGTAAGTGGAATGATCTGTAATTGAAATGATCTTTAAGTGGAATGATCTGTAAGTGAAATGATCTTTAAGTGGAATGATATGTAAGTGAAATGATCTGTAAGTGGAATGCTATGTAAGTGAAATGATCTTTAAGTGGAATGAGATGTAAGTGAAATGATCTGTAAGTGAAATGATATGTAAGTGATATGGTCTGTAAGTGAAATGATCTGTAAGTGAAATGATCTTTAAGTGAAATGATCTTTAAGATAGGAGTTATTTGGTCTCCAATCTGTTTGAATATATGCTGTATGTTTGACAAAAGACGGAAACAAATAATCAACGACATAACGTTAACGATAATGTGATGTTTTATCTAACGCAGAAACAAAGCGTGTATTTGGATTAAGTGAAAAAAATGTGTTGCAAGTGTCTTCGGTGCACATATAATAACACCTCACCATAATTACTGAACCGAGTGATATGAACTGCGTTCTTTACTCCGGTAACCGATTCACCTTAACACTTTGTATGCTAGGCAAGTGGAAATGGACCTATTAAATTAGAACGAAACGAACATTCTACTTAATGTGATTATGCCCCTGAGGTTTCGTATGATAAATATACAAGAGAACATGAGCGTCATACGATTGAAATGATAGAATATATTTCCCATGTGGCCATATCGTGTGGACGATTTCTAGAAAACAAAAAGTGGGTTATGTGACTGATTATAATTAGTACAAATATTCTCCTGAGAAGCTGTAAATAATAAGACGCATTATCCTAATATTATTCAGTGAAATACCACCACTGCTTGTTCCAATGAAGTGAGGAGTAAGAGAAAATACTGATTACATTGATAAGAAATGTACTTATGTTGTCGCTCGCAATGTTTTCGTTTTTCCTATGCACTGAATATTATATGTTGGTAACTCGGTTTGCTGACTGTGAGTTTACCTGAAGGTGTTTGCACTAACCCAATCAATCGAAGATATAGGAATATTGATTTATCAGACGAAGGTCATATCATCTCTTGCAACAAACACCATTGTTGTCCGGCGTTGATCTATCGGTCACAAGTAGCCTTGGCGCACAGGCCCGACCAAACCACATGTATTTTCCACTACACCCAAGCTGTAACGCTGGATCCATTGGAATGAAAACAGCTATTACCTGCATGCGAATCATGAATTCATGCACGAGTTTTATTCTATTGGATCAGAAGCTTGCATCATTAAACTGCATTGCACGTATCTTATGTTATTACATAGACCTATCGACAAAATATTATTGATAGTTTGGAAATAATTTGAAATCATTTTCAAAGTTTGAATATTTTTATCAGTCATATCATAATTGATGTTTCAAATAATGCTTACAAAGTTGCAGATAATGCGGGAAGGTGTATATACTTTAGAATATTGCAAGATTAGCAGGCTTAATTTTGATTATTATATATATATTATATATATATATAGACCTGTCACATTGATCGACTTTCATGACAGAATCAGGGAGAAATGTAAATATAACCCTGAAGTGTTTACAATACTTGGTTGCCCACTTATTCCGAAAGTTGTGATATTTAATTATGTTCGTTTCAGTTGCCTAATACAGAAAATAAATGTTACTTAATGCCCGTGAGCCTCGTTTTGTTGTTGTTGTTGTTGTTGTTGTTGTTGTTGTTGTTGTTGTTGTTGTTTTTGTTGTTGTTGTTGTTGTTTTTGTTGTTGTTTTTGTTGTTGTTGTTGTTGTTGTTGTTGTTGTTTTTGTTTTTGTTGTTGTTGTTGTTGTTGTTGTTGTTGTTGTTTTTGTTGTTGTTGTTGTTGTTGTTTTTGTTGTTGTTGTTGTTGTTGTTGTTGTTGTTGTTGTTGTTGTTGTTGTTGTTGTTGTTGTTGTTGTTGTTGTTGTTGTTGTTGTTGTTGTTGTTGAATTATTATAGTTTTCATTTAGAATTATATGTATTCGGAGAGAATTACTCTCTGCAGGTTTTTTCTTTTTTAAATCTTGCTCTAGGGCAGGAATGTTCTTGATTCTAATCAGTATGTAAGATTGTGTAATGAATAGCTTATATAAGCTATATACGTCAGGATTCTTTTTCAACAAAACAATGTTCAACTGGAAATCATCACAGATTTCATAAATTGATCATCGTCTTGTTTTGAAAATTTATTAACTTTACGAACTACTATAATTATTTTTTTATATATATACAAATGGAAGAGAATTGAACCATTCTACCATAACAGATATCCTTTTTATTTCTTACAGGTCTGAGGTACTAATGGGGCGGTGGCTTCGAATAAACCAAAGGATATTTTGGTGTATCGTGTCGAGGAACAGATACCGTCGTAATCCAGTAAACGCAATAATAATGAAGTTCAGCAAGTATCTGACGCAACGTGTGATGTTTGTGTCCCTTTTAGCGATAGTGTGGGTACTATGTGCACTGATAGGAATCCATGTGTCGTACATGAACAAGTTGAAACCTTACTCAGAATTTACTTATCCAACAGAAACTGATTTCATTTCGTTGTATCAAGACTTTAAAAAATATGGGGGATTACCCAAGGGAGTAGAAGAAATTAATCCACATCCATTCAATTACATGCATTTAAAGGAGAAATGTGAATTCAAGTCAGAAAAAGACTATTCCTTATTAATTTTGGTAAAATCTGCAGTGAGTATTTATCAATTACGTGATGGTATTCGAGCGATATGGGGGAAGACAAGAGGAGACAACATCGTTATAGTGTATGTATTAGGTTATAGACCTGAACATCAACTTAAAATTGACGAGGAAGCATCTCTTCATGGAGATATTATACAAGAGTCTTTCACTGATGCTTACAGCAACAATGCATATAAAACTATTATGGGATTCAGTTGGGCTGTCAAATATTGCCATAAAGCCAGCCACATCATGTTTGTAGATGATGACCACTATCTAGTGCTTTCAAATATCATGATATACATCAGGGCCATGTGCAAGTCTAATAATGCTAATTTGATGGTGGGATATGCATATTTCCATCAAATGCCACACATGTACAAACTATCAAAATGGTACGTGACGATAGAAGAGTATCCATTTGACAAATATCCTCCTTACCTCACCGCTGGAGCTTATATAGTGTCTCAGGAAGTAGCCAATAAATTGGTCTTCGCTTTCCCATATGTCAAATATTTTTGGATTGATGATATTTACCTCAGTATAGTAAGTCATAAATTAGGAATGATTCCGCAACATGAACCTCGATTTTATCAACCGTCTTTTTTATTATACACCGACCCAAAACATATGGTGTACCATGATTTTAAAACTAAGGAAGCATTTCTAAACGTTGAGAAAATTCTACGTGGTTTCCCCAACGAATCATCTGTCTCAAAAATGTGTAAATATTATTTGAAATGTCTAGCATCGGTATTATTGTGATTTATTATTATTATTATTATTATTATTATTATTAATTTTTTAGGTAGTGGTGGAAAAATCTTATATTGCATTTTTTTCTGATCGTCATTGATACCTTGATAAAAAAAAACTTCCGTCAATAAAGGGTAGAGTTAATAATAAAAGTATCATTTGTGGGTTAATTGTTTTCGTTGATTTTGTGGGTACTTCTAATCCACGAATTTATGTATATATGTTTTAAAAACAACAAACTAAAACGGTATTTTCTACAATCTTTGATAACTTGAAGATACATCTTTTCTTAATATAAAATTAAAATTACAATGACAATTTATTGTTTAATCAGAATGTCTGATCAGTAATAACTTGTGTTGGTATCAACTATTGTGTAGACAAAACTTTGAACCATGACGAGTTTGAACGACTCGAATCCAAAGAGTAGGCTATTTAAAGCGACCATAATTGTGTAGATTTTCGACAGTTTTGATTGTAGGTTTTTAACTAAAGGACGTAATGAATGAATGAATGAATGAATGAATGAATGATTATAATAAATATTATCAAGCTTATATCAAATATTACCAAAAGTGCTAGTGTTTCAGATTTGTCAGCATTTGTCTCATTTATCAATTATATTATTAAATTATTTCATGGGTCTACTTTTTGTTTCTTTATTTGTATACAAATCTAAATATTCTTTTTTGTTAAACCTTTCTGCAGTTTTAAGAAATAATATGTCGTGTCTATTAACAGAATCTCATTAATAAGCATCATATTAGAAACGTGTGAATGAAGATTGTATACTTACTGTAAGGGCAATATCCTTCATTTTTCTTTTAAGGTGATAATATGCTTTTCTGCCTTGACATGATCATGTATCTTGTGCTATAGTAAATCTTCCACTATATGTAAAAACTAATCCGAGGTAGCAAAACATCAACAATTCCGATAGATTTGCCGTAGAAAGTCCAACTTTCAGAGGGTAACATTCTTTTTCTAAAAACCGTATATTTTTTTTTATCTGTATTAACATTTAAATTCCTTTTTTCCGTGTACCTCTGTAAATGATCTAACATATGTTGAAGGTCAGTACATTCTCTGAGAATAAAACAGTATCATCCGTGTACATCACAATTAAAAAAGTTTATCAATTGTAATTCATAACTTTGACAACCAGAATTTATAAATTCACTTTCCATATCATTGACAAATTAATGAAGAAAGTATCGGAGACAACGATTCCACTTGTAATAAACCGACATGTATATCAAACATGGCGGATAATTTACCATTTAGTTTACACATGAACGTACATTATCATAAATTGATTTAATTACATGGTGTTACATTACATTATGCTGGTGCTATCCTTAAAGATCTATCTAATTTTTTTACTGTCTTCCTCATAATCTATTGCCGTTGAAGCTGCTACCCTGCGGGTTGAATGAGTCTGCAGCGACGCTGATCATAAGCTGGTAGATACATGCTCAAAAGAGTGTTCCCTAAGAGTTGATTGTTGGATCTAGCATGAAATACTATGATAGGTAATTCTAGAAGATTCAGGTTATATAGATCAATGTTAGAAGAAAAAAACCCTACCTATCATGTCTTTTAATACTGCGATCCAGAGAAGTGTGAACATTGCTGAACTTCCAGGTGCAGATCTAGAAACAAACGCACAGTAAAGAATTACATTGCAAATATAATTAAGACGGCATGCAAACATGCTTATTAGAAAGAAATCAACCCGTTCTAAGGAAGGACAAAAGCATAAATTTGAAAACTGAGATCTGATCCGATTTGAATTAATGTCCAATAGCTTGGTAATTTCATAACATGATTTCTACGTTTCTAGATCTTTGATAAACTAGTAAGATATTGTTCAATGAAGCTTGTGAAATGTACTTTTGTAATGATGTTAAGATTCAAGAGCTTTCTTATTTCTTTATTCTGTTTTCCTGACGTTTGATCAAAAATTAAGACAAAATTCAATATAGAATGAATTGCGACATACCGTGGACTTTTGTAGTCTTGTGCCCTTCTTTATCTACAGCTGTATCGGATACTTAACAAAGGTGATTTCCATGGCGTTTTGAAAAAAAAATAGCTTGTAGACTACATTTTTTGACGGTGAGGTTGACAACGTCATTCGGTCGCTAGCGTCAACAATACCAACGTTTTCAGGTTGCTAAGGTTATTCTTTTGAGTATACCTATGAGTATTTTGGGCAGATTTTAACTTAATTTTGCATGACTTATTACCACAAATCACAGGTTTCAAATTCGTGAAATCTGACCATTTCCCCGCAAGTTTAGGGCCGAAAACAAAATAATTCAGCTTGTTTCTTGGTCTTGGAAGAACAGGTTTTATTTGTGTGAAAATTGCAACTTAACAGAAAGAACAGTGATCAGCCCCCTATTTTGTAATCATGAACAGTATTATCGAAAATTTCTCTATCCAAATATAAATTCGCTTGAAAAATTTAGTACTTTAGAAGATTGTCAAATAAAGTATTTTGGTCATTTCGGAAACATTTTAAATTTTTAGTTGCTATGCAGTTTAAAGCTTGTTAAATCAAATAAAAAAATTAACCGATTTTCGCATTTTCTTTTTAGTATCCAAGTATCATCCCCTTACCATGAGTTCAAAGACAAAATCAATCTCTCTCTCTCTACTTTCTAAAATCAAACCTTTCAAAACTCATAATAAAAAAAGAGAGTTTAATACTTGTTTTTAAATCAAATATCTCATAGGAGAATCATTAATCCGATTTAGTGATGTCGTTAATTCGAATATGATAGAAATGATTCATATATACACGTCAATTCGTTTATTAATATCCGTATTCGCCTCCGTAAAAATCATAACGCGATACAATCGATCCGCGATCCGAATCCTACTTTTTGTTTGAATGTCGTAAAATAAAGAACAACTTGATAACATACAACTCAAGGAACCCTCATATCTTTAGTAGCTCTTTTAGATAAGCCGCATTAAGTAATAGGCAGTTTTTGCTTAGAAGAACAACGCAAAATAAAATTAGCACATTTTCAAATATATTTGCAACAACCGGAAATGGAAACAGTCTTTATTGATCAACACAATCCAACATAAACAGAAGAAACATGTCGTACAGGAAAAGAAAGTCTGCAATGGTATAAGAAGATGATCATTGGGATACATTCACATCATTGGGTATATGTCTAGATGTTAATTTAAGAGCTTTATTACTTAGCAATATATCAGATGATTTATCACATAGACACAAGATAAACATATGATTAACAGAAATTAGTGCAAAGCCTAATTAAGTATCGTTCCGTATTGGTGTGCTTTGTTCACGTGCACAAGACAAAGTCCTCATTTTCCCCGTCTCATTTGTTATTCACGTTATTAGCGACGTCACATTTATCAGACAGATGCTTTGTCAACAGCAGCAGTTGGTAAAGTTAACAAAAATATCACAGACTACACTTTAATCGCATGAATGATAAGCATGTGCACGAAAAGACCGGTTCAAAAACACGCTTCATGCAAACCATGCACCAAGCTAAGATCTACGATAATGGGACTGTCACATATAGTCATGTTTTTCCTTGTCTAGGCACCAACTGCTATACAGCTGTACTACAAATTTACAGACAATTCACAGGAGATTGCTGAGCTTGGTGTCTGTGGCATTGGTAATATTTTTACCCTGCAACTAGCGCTGCCATTACATGTTGTAATGAAAATGTTGATATAGGAAAATTAATGAAATCACTGATATATCTGATGAAGTTTGGAACTATATTTCTGTGGCATCCGTTATCAGGCAAAATTCAGCGTAATGTCAACATCAGATAAACACAGATTGAACAACAAAACTGTTCAAGTTTCAGTAGTCTGATTTTCAATCAGTGTTGCAGGATAGAATAAATGGTCAGTGTCTTAAAACGTAATCTGTACTTTGGCTCGGGACAGAATGGCAAAGGCTGGACCCTTCTGTCTTTCTTTACCCTCGCCAAAATACAGCTTCTAATCTCAGACACTGACCATGTAGTCTATATATATCTATATTATCAACATCCACCACCTCCTGTACCTAGATATATCACATATACCAGTATGCACAATGAACTGCATATCAATATATTTGTTCATATTCTCCCAGCCCCCGTCAGAGTGCACTAACAACCATCACCATTGCTGTCTGATGATGAAGCAAAACCACAGGGAAAACCGCTGTACCATCATGGGGACAGCAAACCCAGCAGACATTGCCTCATATAAAAATCGAACCCAATACTAAAATGAGATGTTTGCAGCTCACAAATGACAGCATTTGGCTATTCTGGTTAACTCATTAGAGATCACGGCCACTGAGGCACCTTCTTGTGTAGATTCTCTCATCTAGAGTGTACTTTGCTCAAAATTTTTAACTCTTGCATACAGAATGGCATGAAGCCTTTAAAATTTGAAATTGCAAAAATTAGGAATGAAAACAGGTAAAAACACATTACCTCATAGTCATCTTTTTTGTTTGGGAAGATGTCAACTTTCCGTGATGGAGGTGTTCAGGTACATTTTGAGTTGCTGTAGTAATACATAAGTATGAAGTAGTCACTGCCAATCTTGGTTGAATCATTGAGGTTGCATGAAACAGAATTTACCTCTATATTGTGTAAGATATATGCTGTTAACTGGGCAGGTATATAGCATCATGATAGTTATTGTAAATATGGAAGTGCTGCTGACATTCTCCAACTGTATCTATTCCTAACCTATCTGAATCTAATTGATTAATATAAAATCTACAACAGGACAGACACAGCAATAATATTGCATGGAATGGAAGCAGATCTGTAGGTTTTTGAAATGTGACTTAAAAAGATAAGCTTGTTGCATATCAAACAATATGCTTACATAATGGTACAGTGTGGGTATAAAGCAATAGTGAGACCAAACCTATAAAACAGTGTAATGTCTAAAACAAACATCGCAACATCAACTCAGCCACCAACATACTATACAGTCTTCAATGGCCAACACTCAGAACAAGACTATGCACATGTACCAACCTCTTCTACTAAACATTACACTAACACATAAACCACTCGAACATACTCATCCCCAAAAACAGGGCTCATCGACCCAAGAACGATAACACTATCGGATCTCCTGCCAGTTACAGGAGTACTTAGCACCTCACTCAAAGGTTCCAAGGCACATCCCTACCTATTGTAGCTCTTGAAACCCTTACACATGAGTAGAATTAAACACTCAATCCTGTGTTAATTTCTTTTCTCTCATCTGTAGTCACAAAGAAATTAACAAAATCTTTATAAGGAATTGAGTCTTGCCTTAACTTATTTTCTTGGTGCTTTAAATCTTACATTAATCTGAATTGCAAAGACTTACCCTGTCTAGCTTGTATTTATAAGAGAATTTAACATTTGATCATTCAAGATAATAGTGATAAATAGGTATACATTTGCTATTAGTTTCCATGCAGTCTTGATATACAGTTGATATATACTATTACATCGCAAACTGCTTTTCTTTTTCAGTAATGGCCAGTTTCTGTTACCAGTACTTGTCTGTCGTAGCCAATGACTTCATCTTCTTCAGTGGAGATGTACAGACAACCACTATAGCTGTGGCCATAGCCAGCTCTCTTTGTTACTCAATAGTGTGGGCTATCTACCATGTCATGCGTTTAGCACATCCTAGCCATCAGAGGGAAAATGGCCAACGGAAACCACATTCCTCCCTCACCTATCTACCAAACATGGGGGCCAAGTTCACTTTTAAAAGACCAAAAGTACCAGTGAGTTTTGAAATATTTGTTACATATTACTACTACATTGTTCTCCTTAGACTTTCCTTGTTACCAAATCATTTCTTGAGACCAACTTTTTGTTATACTTGTATATGCAATTAAAGGTATTATTTTATGATCTGTTGTAGATCGATGTCTGTCAGATGTAAACCTTAACAATATATTTTTGCGATATCAAAGAAATGTACATCACATACATTTCAGTAAAGTCGACCAGTATTGGTAGAATGGTTATATTGTTTAACAATTGCTGTGATTTTCTGATATTGTGAATCTTTATCAATTTATTACATTCCTTAAATGACTAAAATACCAATTAATGGCCTGTTCAATTTTGTATGGTAAATACAGATGTATTGTATTTTCTTTTTATTGTAGACGGCTGATTTGTATCAAGACCTTATCAGGTTTGAGACTGTCCTCTGTAGTCAGGTTGAGGTTCCATGTGTCAGGTAAACAATTGTTTGAGCCAATTTTCAAAGTTTATAACTGTGCTCAGTATTATATTAAATTTAACATAAAACTCATACTCATTACACTGCTTCACATAAACTCTGATTGATATTATCTGAAATGAGTCATGAACATGTTAATGAAAATTCCAACTTAATCACATTGAAATATTTCTTCGTTTGAAAAAAAAAACGTTAAGTAAAGTGTATTTACTTATTATTTTCGCCATGCTTGTCTGCAATAATCAGCATTTCAGGAGTGATACGTACAGTATTGTTTTCACATTTTTAACAGGTGTAGTAAAAACTTGGCAGATCCCCAGTGCCGTTTTGTGACGTGTAAAATGTGTTGTTTCTGTCCCGATGCCTGTGACATACATAAGCGCCCATGTGACCTTGACTGTCGTCCATGTGATCATCTTAACGTTATTACAGAAATCAACCTTAGGTAAATATTTCTTTGTCATTCTCAGGTAAACCTTTATTTGTCATTCTCAGGTAAACCTTTATTTGTCATTCTCAGGTAAACCTTTATTTGTCATTCTCAGGTAAACCTTTATTTGTCATTCTCAGGTACACCTTTATTTGTCATTCTCAGGTACACCTTTATTTGTCATTCTCAGGTAAACCTTTATTTGTCATTCTGAGGTAAACCTTTATTTGTCATTCTCAGGTAAACCTTTATTTGTCATTCTCAGGTACACCTTTATTTGTCATTCTCAGGTAAACCTTTATTTGTCATTCTCAGGTAAACCTTTATTTGTCATTCTCAGGTAAACCTTTATTTGTCATTCTCAGGTACACCTTTATTTGTCATTCTCAGGTAAACCTTTATTTGTAATTCTGAGGTAAACCTTTATTTGTCATTCTCAGGTAAACCTTTATTTGTCATTCTCAGGTAAACCTTTATTTGTCATTCTCAGGTAAACCTTTATTTGTCATTCTCAGGTAAACCTTTATTTGTCATTCTCAGGTAAACCTTTATTTGTAATTCTGAGGTACACCTTTATTTGTCATTCTCAGGTAAACCTTTATTTGTCATTCTCAGGTAAACCTTTATTTGTCATTCTCAGGTACACCTTTATTTGTCATTCTCAGGTACACCTTTATTTGTCATTCTCAGGTAAACCTTTATTTGTCATTCTCAGGTAAACCTTTGTTTGTCATTCTCAGGTAAACCTTTATTTGTCATTCTCAGGTAAATCTTTATTTGTCATTCTTAGGTAAACCTTTATTTGTCATTCTCAGGTAAACCTTTATTTGTCATTCTCAGGTAAACCTTTATTTGTCATTGTCATTCTCAGGTAAACCTTTATTTGTCATTCTCAGGTAAACCTTTATTTGTCATTGTCATTCTCAGGTAAACCTTTATTTGTCATTCTTAGGTAAACCTTTATTTGTCATTCTCAGGTAAACCTTTATTTGTCATTCTCAGGTAAACCTTTATTTGTCATTCTCAGGTAAACCTTTATTTGTCATTCTCAGGTACACCTTTATTTGTACCCGTAATTCAATCATCTATGTGAGTTATTATTAGCATAGTATTGCCTTCATGTAAATTCCTGACTTTGAGTAAACCTCTTCATACCACTGGTAAGATGAAGAGGTTTTGTGAGACATATGAATACAAAGGTATTTGGGTGAAGAAAAGGAATGAAACTATATAATAGATGTCCCTATCTGAAGTTTACTTATCTATTTGTGAGGGTGAAAGGATTTTAACTAAATTTGATATAGATATCCCCTGGCAGCGGGAATTCAATATACAGTGTAAATGAGAGAATTATGCCCCACACCATTCAGTCTTGTATGACTGACCTCGATTAGGTCAAAGTAGTATCAGGAATGTGGACCAGATTCATCAGAATTATCACTAACACATTTTTCTCTTTTTCTTGTTGTAGTGAGTGTCAGATTAGCCAGTGTCCTGAAAGGATTGGCTATTTCGGGTCCCAATTATCACTCCTAAATCTATCTGGTAATAATTTGGGTGAAGTGCCTGAGGAAATTGGATGTTTACGTGGCCTAAAGGAATTTTATTTACAGAAGAATAGCATTAAAACATTACCAGTGAGTAACAGACTTCAGTTTATGACTTTCCTAAAATCTTTATCACGCAGTAGTGTACTTCATTCAAGTTAAATACAAAACTTGGTAAATGGAGATCAAGCTTACTGTTCCTTTGAAGGTAATTCCACATTATAATTTTTTTTAAACATTTCCAGATACAATATATACAGGTTTGTAAAACAATTGTGTTCTCTTCGTATATGCCACTAATAGCTACATTACAATGAATTTTACAGGCAACATTGGGATCTCTATCCAATCTCCAAATACTGACTGTGTCTTCTAACCAAATTACCTCTTTACCAGGTATGTATTTGTTTCATTTTATTTTTTAATTTTTCTTTTTTTTTTTTTTTTTTTTTGTGCTCTAACCAAATTAAAGGTAATTTTAAGTCTGAAATATTGTGATATTCTGTCAACTATATGTTGATCTATACATCTTTTCCCAGACATAATTGGACACCTTGTTCACAATGAGGAATTACTTTCTTGTTTAGAAATGATGTCTCTTTTGACCCATTGATCTCAGATAAAGAATTATAGCTTTTGAAAGCATATTTCAGTCATTGTTTCATGTAAGGACATCAGACTTAGTGTACAGTTGACCATGATACAATGATCTGGATCACTTCTGACCTTTGACCTCAGATACAGAAATATTAAATGGTTTTGGAACATACAATGGCTACTGATTTCTGTATGGCCACCAGACTTGGTTTGTAATATATGATTATACCAAACAAAGAAATTCAGTCATATATTACCCAACTATTAAGCAGAGAGATCAAACTTGTTGTGCAGGTAAATAGAATCACACATTTTGTTTCAAATATTCACAATTCAACTTTCCTTTATGTATGAAAACTGACCACAATGATTTGAATAGCACTTTTAATCACAAATGTCTTTTCTTTTCCAGATTTTTGGTTGTCATTGTCCAATCTTCAGTACTTAGATATCAGTCATAATGAGATATGTGACGTCCCAGATTCTGTACAACATCTACAGCATCTTCACACTTTGTTATTACAGTAAGTCTTAATTTTCTCATCGACAAGTACTTTGGTCCGTCAGAGTTCACAGCATTAGATAAACAAAATTTGTCTTCAGCATTAATGTGTTGATTTACTGTGTGGCAAATACTTGTTGCAATATACCACTCAACTGAGAAGAACTTCTCTTTAATTTGATTAGTTGAGTGCAAGACTAGTAAGCTAAAGTCTGAAGCTCGAACCCTAGCAAACGTAGTGAAATAAATAACAATGACCTCTGTTACCTTTGTAGTTTCTCTAAATAATTCTTAGTAAATTGTAATGTCTCACCAGCATTCGTATTTACCTTTCAGAATTAAGGGCAAGTTCTTTCTTTGAAGAAGCTTTTAAGCAATACAATATTTTTCTGAAATTTCATGAAATAACTTCAGTAATGTAAAGATTATGTTTGCTAATGCATAATGTAGTTAAAATTAAGTTACAAGACAACATCTCTTTTTTTCAGACACAATAAATTTACAAGCATTCCAGATAAAATCTGTCAATTGAAGTCATTACAGGTTTGTAGTGGTTTACATTTTGTGTCTGATAAGGGTATCCTACTAGCCAGATAAACATGAGAAACATTTTGTCTAATTTCTCTTGGTATCTATCTACTTAAAGGGGAATTATGAAGGAATTAAAGTTAAAGTTTTGTTTGTTATGGATGTGTGTTCACGCTAAAAATCTTGTTGTACATGATAACTTTAACTGATATGCCAAGTTTGGTTCAAGCTGTACTTACACTTTCCAGTGATGAAAGAGTAAAAGGTCACTTCATTACTTTCACATCTGGTTAAAGAGATATCTCATGATCCCATGACAATATTTAATTGAAACAGAAGTGTCATGATAAATGTCAAATTTTTGTGGATTTTGAGGATTAATTGTTATTTTTTTGTATGACATCAATATAGAAACATCGTTGTCTTTCATTCTTATATGTTATTAGTTAATCACAGCTTGTAAATTTCATATATAAATTTTGTTCAATAAAATCATTTTGCAGTTTTCATAAAAATTACTATACCAACAAAACAAAACATAAGAGATTTGCAGTTGCTCAAAGAACGTCACATAGATGTATGACTACTTCCTTCCCTTGATCAGGAAAAATTTACATAAATGCATCTTTATTTAATACAAGTAATTTTTCCTTAATAATACCCTTTACTTTTATGTTGTTAATACCAAACCATGTACTGAATTATCCTCCATCATGTTTCCTTTAGAGACTAGATGTAAGTGATAACTGTCTGAACAGCGTCCCGAATTCTCTCGGAGGTCTCCTGAGGTTGGAGGAGTTCATTGCTGCATCCTGTAATCTCGATACATTCCCTGTGTCCTTGTGTCTATGTCCAAGTCTTCGGACCATTAATCTGTCTAGAAACAGGTATGTATTTGAAAGACACATTGCACTCATTATTTCAAATGTTCCTTGGCCATGTCCCATGTTCAAGCATGAATGCCCAAAACTAACAATTTGTGTGGAGATAAGTAAAATACATATTACTTGTTTAATATTATTCAACACAGAGAATCACCAGATCTTTCCATATCATTTCTCATATCCCCTCTGTTAATCTGAATATGAACCTGTGATAGAATTACTTTCAATAGAATTTTTCATTCAGAGTTAGATTAAATATAAATTGATATACATAGAGAATGTGTTCCAAAAACGAGTTCAGATAGGTTATATCTACAGACCCAATAACATTTTGTCACGTGAAACACATATTGATGTTTCAAGAGATATTTGGGCAAGAGAGAGAGAATCTCATTAGACAACAAAATTTTATCATCATTGCCAGATATAATGTATATGGAAAGTATAAGATGGCAGTTTGGGATATGTCTTTCATTTAAATAGAAAGAGATTGACCTTGATATATAAGACAAGTTGTAAGTGTACCATGAAATGATGTTTGCCTGAAATATTTGTTTACTTTTAGGTTAAAATTGATTCCTGTTGAAGTTGGTCAAGTAGGAAACCTGAGGGAGTTGAATGTGTCACATAACTGTCTACAGTACCTACCAGCTACATTACATATCAATCATCTCCGTATTTGTGATAGTAAGTATCGGATACATACTTGCACTGTTTTACATTTAGTTGACAACTGGTCTTGAAGTATTTTTTGTTACTTCAGTTTTTGCACAGTTTCATTTTCAGTTTCAGAAAATCCATTCCTAACAGAAGCCGACCATTCTGATGTCCAGTCTCTGACCCAAGGTCCATATGAGACTGGGAATGTTCCTGCCCTTTTTGAGCTTGCTTTCAGGACTGTAGTTTCTGGAGACGATCTCCAATTTGACCTAAAAGCATTACCACTCATTCTACAAGGTAGGATAGTTGTTACATGAACTTAAGCCCCTCTGCTGGTTAATAAGCCCACCCCTCATTACACTGAATTGATTACTTTTTAGTGACAGTTTCCATATTTTTCCTTTGTTACACAGCTTTCTCAAATTTTCCATCAACTTTGCTGTAATTTTCATTCCTTTTGTGAATGATAGCCATGTCAGTTCCTCATTCTAAGGTCTGATTTTTTGTTTGGATCACATTCTCAGTGAAAAATATTTGAAAATTTCACATTTATTATCAGAAGTGGAAGATGGGACCTAATGTAATACTGTAGCTGGTTCTATATAGTTAAAGCATCATTTTTACTAAGAACATTCTATTTCTTTCATTGGTAAGCCTGTTGTGTGTATGTTTTCTTGTTTTAAATTTTCTTCTAATGTTCCCAAAAATGTACAAGAAATTTCAACATGCAACAAAAGGAGAATTTCACAATTATTACAAGGAACAAGTGTTATAAATCTATGATCATTTTTAATTTTGCAGAAACTGTTGGAGAGAAGAAGACATGTACCTCATGCGGTATTGTCTTTCTGGACCTGTATCGGTCCTCATTACACTTTCAACAGATCGCACAAGACCACATCCCATTCCTCTCTCAACTGTGTTCTGCTGCCTGTGCTGTCAACTCCTGACTAGCTACAAAACATGCTGTAAAAGTATCTTGGGTATTACTATTTTGGTTAAGTCTGTTTTAGCATTGATATAAAATGTTCATATTTTCCCATATCTTGCCTTAATAATGTAATGCAAACTGGAACATTTAGACAGGAATATTGTCTTAATTATCGGAGGCATATCAGAAAGTATTTTACTTATATACCAGTAAACCTGTGTTATATGGATACACATATGTAGGTTATTTTTTACAAAGATTTAAATGTTTTTTTTTCATTACCAATATCTGATAATCTTGTATATTTCAATCTAGCATTGTTTCTAGGAGTCAAATCATTTTAGAAATATTAATCCAAGATGTTTTTTTATCAAATGTTCAACATATGAATTATTTCGGTTGTTTACACAAGAAAAAGAAAGCGTTATAGTACACTTGCACTATTATGTATTTCAATTTACAAATTTCTGTTTATAATGTACATCATGTAATGATAAAGCAGGTCTTCACATTTGTAATTTGTATACAATTGTGCCTCTCTTTATATGATGGGTGTAGGTTGGGGTGGGGAGTGGGGTGAAAGGAAGGAGAATGGTTGTGTTGGAGGTAAGGTAAAAGGCATTGTGTGTATATGGTGTCAAGGGAAGGATGAATATATGAATATGGGATTGGAGAAGAAGGATGTGTGGGTTAGGGGTTGTGTAGGTTGGAGGTCAAGGGGAGGGTGATCTTTGGGTTAGGGGTAAGGTGAAGAGAGGTGTGTAGGTTGAGGGTTACATGATGGATGATTGTATGAGTTGGGGGGTCAGGGGAAGGGAAAAGTATAAGTTGGCGGTCAGAGAAAAGGCAATGTTTATGTTGGGGGTCAGGGGAAGGGCAAATTTTGGGTTGGGGATCAGGGGATAGGTGATGTGTGGGTTGGGGGTCAGGGGAAGGGTGATGTGTGGGTTAGGGTCAGGGGAAGGGAAGAATGATGTGTGGGTTAGGGTCAGGGGAAGGGAAGGGTGATGTGTGGGTTGGGGGTCAGGAGATAGGTGATGTGTGGGTAGGGGATCTGGGGATAGGTGGTGGGTGGGTTGGGGGTCAGGGAATAGGTGATGGGTGGGTTGGGGGTCAGGGAAAGGGCAAATTTTGGGTTGGGGATCAGGGGATAGGTGATGTGTGGGTTGGGGGTTAGGGAAAGGGAAGGGTGATGTGTGGGTTGTGGGTCAGGGGAAGTGTGATTTGTGGGTTTGGAGTCAGGGGAAAGGTGATGTGTAGGTTGGGGATCAGGGGAAGGGACTTAGTTTCCTTGTTATATCTTTGAAACAGCTGAGATCCCCACTCCTTAACCATATACATTTATAGCAATGCTGGGCATCAAGAGCTAATCACATTCATGATGTAAGAACTGGGTGTAAACCCACCTTTCTGGGCAGAATTTCTGGGTTATGGCTTTGAAACAGTTGAAATTCTCACCCAGTAACTCTATAATAAAGAGAATTTCTTATTATCAAGAGATAAACACATTCATGATGTGAAAATTGAGTCTTGGGTGTGGCACACCTCTATGGACTTAATTTCTGGGTCAGATTTTTGAAACAGTTGGGATCCCAACCTGATAACTATATAAACTCTTAATGGGCATCAAAGAGAAAGACAGTCATGATATAAGAATTTACCCATTGGTCTTGCCCTACTAAAGAGGTTAAGGGACTGAGCTGTAATGTGGAAATATTTGAAATACCTAACCTATAGACATGTATACCATTGCTGGGCTTTAAGACCAGGTGAGCTATACAAACCTCTTGGGCCTTTTGTTTCTGATCAGAATTTTTTTTCTTTTTTGTTTTAACAATTTAAATGATGGAGAAATGTAGGAATATGTGTTCATTGATTCAAAAAAAAAGATATTTTTCATATTTCATGTAATGACATATTACCATGACTGTATGTGGTTTCTTCAGGTAAAGTTTGCTCAAGATACATAATTTTCTGGTACAAAATATCATCTGCTGATCTATAAAGTCATCAAGAGATATTTTCTATATGTATCAACACATTTTAAATTTTTACAATTTATTAGATCATGTAGTTGTTTTATCCATGAATAGTGCTAACACAGCAGTTTCATGTTACATAAAATTACATCTAGTCTCCAATTTTTTTTCTCTTTTAAAGTTCAGAAGGTGGCTTCAGAATGTCTGTTTTCCTATATCTTTCTGGAGATTTATTATTATGTAGCAATGGTAGGTTATAACATGATTTTACTATATCCCCTGTGTATATTATCAAGTAATAGAATTTCATATCAGATAATATCATGGTACAGATGTGGTTGTGTACCGAGAAATCCTTGCATTGAGTTTAAATTTATTGTTCATGTATTGCCAAATTATGACCAGAAAATGATTTTTTATAATGAAATATATAAAAAGGATTGATTCCTACAATGGAAGGGGTTGTAACTATTCTCATCATTCAGTTGTAATCAGAGTTGTGAATAATTATCAGTATAAGTTGTGATGTAAATAATTGTATATCTTTTGAAGTTAATTTCTTTACAAACACCACATTCCATGTTTGCTTTGTTTTTTTCATTTTACTCATGGAGCCAGCTTAAAAATGAAAGAAATTTTGAGTAATAACTATTGTAGAATTTCTGATTGCTAGGCCACTGATTTCCTTTCTTAATTTGTCCAGGTATTAAACATGTAAAGGTACATTTGAAAATGTATTATCATGCTTTCATTGGTTTTAAACCTGTCTAGTCAAGTGGTGTAATTGCTGGGTTGAATTTTTGACATTCCTACATATAAGTGACCAACAATGATCGATGTTGCTTGTTGTTTATACATCATTATTCATTGCAAACAGTTTTTCAGGAAATAGTTACGATGATGAGTTAAGATAACAAATCAAATAGTTTTCGTACAGATGTTGGTACTACAATACATGAATACAATGTGGTTTACTTGTAACTTCACATGGATGAATATTAATATGAAAATCTGCAGATAAAGTGTGCCATTTATGGTAATTTTACCTTTTCTGATCTTATCTATGGAAATAAACAGATAGAAGTTGGCCATTCAGGGAGCTCTGCGCCCATCTCTTCATGCAATCTTTCTTTAGTGCTGTTTAATGTTTAACTAGATGATATCCTATTGTACCAACAATACGTGAACTTAACTGAGAATTGATGTAAAGAAACAGTTTGATTCATCCAAGTTCAGTCAGTATTGTACTGTACACTTGGAAAGACTTTTCATCTGGTTGTTAATTTTGTTTACAATGCTTTGTTACAATTTATCAACTTCAAAATGTAATCTGTTAATAATTTTGCAAGGAATTTCAATTCTCATAAAAGTATATGTATGGTACCTGTAAAAGGTATAGCTAATTTTACAATTATATTGTCTACATTGCATGGTTTCAAGCACAAATTGTTGTTTTTATATGTTCACTCAGAAATTTGGTTATAATATTCATTTACAAATGAACAGTTTTTTTACTTAAAAATTTGCTTGAAAAGTCACCATATTTTTTGTTTATTTTAGCACTGAAGTCATCAGCTTTAATCATTTATGCTTTGTGTTAAATTCACCTGATATATTTAATCAGAATTGCAAATACTGTGATTTTTAACTGATTTTATTGAAACTGTTTCATTTTTAAAATTTTCAATGGTGGATTAGTTTTGAAATAAGTGTTTGAGTAAAACAGCAAAGATATCCAGCATGTATCATTTCTTTCCAACAAGGGGGCTGTGGTAGCTCAATTGGGAAGACTTTACACCCCTTGGATGTGTTTCAGTCCCTGCTGCTGGGTAGTTTGTGTTTCTCAGATAGCTGAGGTCACTAACCACTCTTTGTTGCCATGGCTGTGTCCTTCAGCTAGATACTTTACTCTTAAAGCTTTTGATAGCGTGTGGTGTGCCTCCCCTATTGAGATCTTTCAAGTAGCCACCAGCTGCTACAGGAAGACCCCACCTCCAAATAATGCTGGTTGTTCACAGGCCAGTATTTCAGCTAGGGTATAAAATTTAATTTTCTTTCTTGATTTCAGCAACTGAGAGAAATTTCACACAAAGAAAAGTAATCTGAATTCAAATTGTTAAAGGATGATACCACTTCTTATGCAACTACAGTAACTGTTTATTTGTACAAGTCTTAATAGATTGGTGCTGCTTTATCTTTTTTAGTTAAGTTAATTACGTGTAGTCTTTGTTCTAGTCCTATTTATTTATCTCTTGTTTTACTTCAGTGATATAGTCTTGCCTTTTAAAAAGGAATTTTAGTTCTTTTAGGAAGACAGTGGATATAGTCCATGTTATATTTTAAACACATTGCAGTATTTCTTAAACACACTGATAAAGTGAATTGTTATCTACGCCAAGTATTCTTGGTCATCATGTGCATACACAAGGAAAGAAAATTATCTTATAATTTCAGTTAGTACTACAGGAGAATTTTAGTTTGCATAATGCTGAAATTTTGCAAAAACATGGAAATAAGCCATTTTGTTTTGATCTCTTCAACATGTACGGTATGATGGCCATGTTTGTATGTAGAATTTTGAAGAAACTCTGGAGCAGGTAGATATAATTTGACTAGAGAATGCTGGTTTTGTTTTAAAAGGTTTCCATGTCCATTATCCTGCTCAAATATTCCTTTAACATGTCTTGCATCTGTGATTGTATCTCGAGCATGCTTCATTTTGTGTAATTATGTGTTATTTTAATGTTAGGTACCTGTGGTTACACATCCGTCATTTAAATGATTATACATTATAAAGTTTGTTGACAGCTGGCAGATTAGCAACAGAGTCTGCTGTTGATAGTTTTTGTACATGTTTTAATTATATACATTTGAAATTTTTAAAAAGCTGGGCCACATTTTTCAAAACTTTGAATTGCTTTTCTTATAAAGAATCCCATTATATCAGCTGCATTATCAAGACTCTTGCAATTTTACCAAAATGTTTCCAAGTTTCCATTTACCATTTTGATAATATCAGTTACATTAAACAAACTGTATTTTAGATAATGATTTACTTTATAATTTATTCAAATTATTTGACAATCTATCAACTTTTTTGTATCAGTTTGATGCCGATGCCCGACCAACATAAAAAAAATTGGTACATCATCAGAATAATTTGGACTCTGGAAAATTACACTTTTAACAAATAAAATATTGTAATATTTCATGTAAAAATTAAGATAGAAATTCTTATCAAAAGATATACAGCTTCTTGTACACATCATTATGAAGGTTACAGCTGGTACCAGGTGACTGACACATCTAAACTGCTGTTTCAATTATATTCAGATGAGTAAAAGTCCAGTATCAGGGGAAAAGATTTATATATAAACTTTTGTGTTGTTGACAAAACTCAATATGTAGTCAGTTTTCTCTGCTGATGTGATGTGTCCAGTCACAATTGGTTTCAGTTTGCATTCTTCTCTATACCAAGATGTTATTGGAAACAGAATTGGCAGTGCTTTTTATATTTTGTTGTTTATGATACATCTTTGTAAAGGTGGCCCAAGGCCTATTTGTTGTATGTTGTTATTTTGTTCTTCACAATGATTATAATGAAAATTAAATATGTGGGACAGAATATCATTCGTGTTTAAATTGTGTTACAATTCTAGAAACATTTTTAAGCAAAAAAATGTTTTTACAAAGACATACTCAAAAACATGTCTTCCCTTAGTTGTCTTCTTTCTTGTTCATTATGAAATAGTTACTAGTGAATCAATACCAGACCTTAATATTTGACTCATAATTTATGATTATGTGATGGATTTCATCATTTTACACTCCAATAATCATTGATTCAGTGTACCTATATCACAGACTTCTACATCAACAAATAATTTACCAGTTTATAGAACGAAAATTTAGCATGTACCATGACCTCTGACATTGATTCATGGACTTGCTTTTTTTAACATGTTGAAACAAAATATTCATCAGTCCAAAAAAAAAAAAAAAAAATTTAACCTTTAAAAAAAGTGACTTGTAAGTGAAGAAGTTCCACCTTTCCTATGAGTCAAATGACTTGTCAATTGTTTTTGATTGACTTTACTTGTTGAAAATATAACAAATGATTTACCAATAAAAGATTTGAAATTTGACCTTGACCTCTGATACAATGACACGTGATCAGGCTGTCAGTTTTGCTTCACAATGTCATAACAAAGTATTCATCAGAAAAAACAGTTTGTAAACTCCTCATTTCAGTAAACACTGCCCACACCTGAAGGTCACTGTAACTTAAATACAGTGTAATGAACATATATGTTTCAACATTTAATTGGGTCAATGTTCATATGTATTGACTGAAAACAGTGTAATTAAAATGTATTCTTTAATCTTGAGATGAAGATCACTGCCATGATACAAGTGCACTGCACTATGACTAAGGATGATTTATAGATAATTTGGTAAATATATCTGACATTTCAAAAGTCATTGCCTGGAAAAGAATGTATCAGAAATGTTTGACCTTGCTTATATTTGATGCAGTTTGTAATTTTATTGTTTCAAATTTTCTCAAGATATCTCTTAACGGTCCAACTATGTTATGGCCCTGACAAGATTGTATTAAAAGAATAAGAGACATAATTACTCCATCATAAAGTCATATGAAGGAAATTTTTAGACTGAACTACTTTTACATTATAAAAATAGCCCCAAAGAGAAACAGCTAGAAACAGATAATTTATTCAAGATGGGTATAGTGTCGCAAATGTGAGAAAACCTGTATGCCCAGGCATCTGATTTGGTGTCACCCCAGTCTTGAAAAAGAAGCTTGCACTTTCCTTTCTTCCAATGATATCAAAACTGGGCAGCACGTTTTTATTTTCACGCTGAGCTACGGAGTCATTATTTTCTGATTTTAACTTCTTTGTAGGGGTATCCGTTTGATCCGAAACTTCCTCCTTCAGGTCTGTATTATCTGAGATATTTTTTTCTGTGGGTCCTATTGGGCCCAAATCTGCAATAGGTAGATTTATTGTCCTGACATCAAAGTTACGAAGTAAACACTCCATAGTTGTGACCTCCTCGAATCCCAAGTCCCGCAGGTAATCACAAGACTTCTGTACTTGCTCTATACAAGGTGAAAAAGAGCACAGTCTCCCACCTACAACAATATAACAAAATTATAATATTGCATTGAATAATTAGTGATAATTTCAAGTATAAATCATTTGGATAAGTTTGTTGATCCTACATAAGGTGAAAGATTTTGATGATTTGATAAATCAGTCTCATCCTCTGATTTTTTGAAGCATTATGAAGAAGAAAATTCAATATAAAAGTGATTTCCAGGAAATAGCCCTAAATTACAAGGAGATGAGCTCATTTACCACAGACAATGTACAATTGTTCATGAAATATTATCATTTACAAATATTAACAAGAAAAAAAAAATTTACCTGTGACTTTCATGGCAGCTTTAGCACTAGCCATAGCTTCCCATGGCCGGGGTAGATCAAGAAACACAGCATCTGCAATGTTTTCCAATCCAAACCCGTCCTGACAGACATCCTTGTGTGTGACTGTTACATACTCCTTCAAACCGTGCTCTTGGAATTCCTCTTCAGCCTTCTCCGCTCTCTGCTGATGAAACTCAAATGTGTGCAGGTGTCCTGTAGGAGCTATGGACCGGATGATGGAATGTGATAATGAACCACTTCCAGTACCTATAATGTAATTTAAAATAAAATACTGCAACTTACAATAAAAAAAAAAATTGTCAAATTGATGGCTCTAGTATCACAAAACCACTTTTTATGAGGACTTCTGAAATAAAATAAAATATCTTAACATAAATTGATGACATGTTGTTTCCGCCATTCATTAGTGATACAAGTCAAGAATTGATTTCTATACAACATCTTGAAAATAGATTATCATTTCATTTTATTCGAGGCATTCTACACTCAGTGTACTGAAATAGGTTATAGATTTTTGTGAATCAGCTAGTACCAGGTCTCTCATTCAATAATCATAAATACATTTCTCCGTATAGATTGTGCTAACTACATCATCAATTTTTTTTAAAAGGGGGATAATATAATATCAATATAAAATGGTAACGTCAGAATAAAAAATCTTAGCTAGTATTTCTATACCAGATTCTACGACAACTGAGCCCGGTTTTAGGTCGAGTTGCATGGTGACGACACTAATGTCCGTGGAGTAAAGGATCTGTGTTCTATGTGGGAGATTCTGTGTCCATAGCTCGGGAGTTGGCTGGAGAACGTACAGGTATCCCTTGGGACATTGTACTTTACTTCCGTAGTCCATTCCTATCACGTCTGCGTGTCGCATGGCTCCGTATTTTGTCTGGAACGTTTGACCTCTCTTCATCGTCACAGCATGCATATTTTCATAGCCAAGATACAGAATTATTGTATCTCCCTCCTCAATTTTCTTTTTGTATCTCGCAAAACTCATGTTTACAGTCTTACAGTTAAAACTGAAACTACACGTGTGGAAATTTGAGAGTTATGCAAAGGGAGGTAACAATCAAATTAGCGGCGCCCCGAAATTCTTCACACCAGAGACGTATATAACACGTTTTGTACATCTCTGTTCACACCGGTATTTTTCAAATGAAAGTCAAGATAAAGAGTTAAAATTAAGATAGAAAGTCGTACGGACAAAACAAATGGTACATAGAATTTTAGCTAATATATATGTCCTCTTATGTACGTGCATAAGTGGACATAATTAAATTAGCTAAAATTCGGTGCGCAAACGGGCAACAAAATGCGAAGATTTTTTTCCGCTTCAGGTGAACGACTTGTTGTACATTTCAGAAAAAATACTACTTTATTGATTTCTTAATAAAACAAATTTAAAATGCAGTCTCTGATCAGTGACTTTAACGTTTCTTCATTAGAAATAAATCAAAATATTTATCTAAAGATGAAAACAAGTTTCGCAATTTTTCATTACAAAATTACAGAAGAATCTCGGCTTACAAAATTGTTTACTATACGATTATTTCGACAATTTCATTGTGAACTAAAGCAATGTACTGTACAAATCACAAAATGTATGCCACAGACTATCAAGTATGGTAACTTAATTTCCAACGGATTAATAAACACTTTGACAAATGTAATTGACACAAAATTAGAGAGAGTAAAGTATCCAAATTATTTATACGTTAAAGAAAAGTATATACTATGATCAGGGACCTATATATTACGTCCCTGCTATGATACAGAAGTATATTATTCATATGGAATAAAACGCATTCAGACAATGATATCGCACACAAAATATATTGACTTTGTTCTGTTTTATAAATAGAATATGTCCGCTGTCTTTTATGGAAATATTCTCCATCTTAAAACGATGTTTTATGATACGACGATGTTGCATTGTCGCAAATAACAATACTGTTTTAGTAATAAAACCATCCATCTCGAAAGTAAGCTTGCCTATATCAGTGCGTCATAGCTAGTGCAGAATCCACACATTTATAGAACCGATCTATTAAGACTTCAATAAAGAGCTACAATTACTTCTCATCTCGTCCGAATGCTATCGGACTTATATTGTACATAAAAATCAAAACGGTTGTAATATATATATCCAATTCTTGCACTCAACATTTGTGGATTTGGATTTGGATCCTTGGTAGCGCTCTTACGCACTTTTTTCGAGATTATATTTTCTTTTCTGTACGCAAACGTACAAAGTCTGAAAAAAGGTGATAAATGAAGAAAGCAAAATCTAGTAACTGTACATTAAATAAATTAACACACAAGAGAGAGAGAGAGTGACAGAGAGAGAGAGAGAGAGAGAGAGAGAGAGAGAGAGAGAGAGAGAGGAGAGAGAGAGAAATTAAATTTAAGATCGAACGATGATTTTTTTTTTCTGTTATTTTCTTAATTTTCTTTCAATTACCTTTGTGTGCTGTATTTTGATAATGTTTATCCTACATGTTGTTCACTGCAATATAAATGCTAAAAGCAAACACAAGTAAAATATTATTCGACCTCTTCAAAACTTTTATATTACACACACGGCTTCTATTTGTAATATGAATGCAATATTATATTTCTTTATCTAATTTTTTGTTTAAAAAAATAAAGAAATGAAATGAAAAAAACAGAATAAACCTCTGTCATTATTTGGATTCAGCTCGGCAAACTTGCCTGAATTAATCCCGAGATGGTTCTGACCAAGTGAGATTATTTTTTGGGGTGATCTGAAATCAAATATGGCCGCCATTTTTAATTTTAAATTTTAACCTCTTGTCCAATTTTACTCCAGGTGCCATCGACATATTGATGCTGTTTTTCAGTCTCATCAAAATTTCCATATATTAGCCACGATCTTACAATGTGAAGGTACTAGTATGTATCAGGGCTCACAGGAAAACAAAGCGATCTACGACAATTTGTTCATCGGGGACAGAAAGTATTTGAAGAAAATCTCAGAAGTGATTCCTGAGAATGGGGAAACTTACGAAAGAAAAGATTATAAAGAATAAAAAGGAAAATGTCAACCTCATGACAAGGGATCAGTACCATCGGAGATAGCACAGGGACTTGACACAAATTCCAAGCCCACATTCCAGGTGTTTTACATATTTGATTTGTTAATGCTATTTCATTAGCTTTCACCTGAACAAAGGGGCAGCATGGACTAAGTCTCCTCCCTGCCTGGTTCTGAAAGTCAGACAACAAAATGGTTGATAATTGACTCTGTAATAGCATTGAGGTATGTTTTGCTACGTAAGTGATACAGATCTTCTTTGTGACTTATCACTGTATAATGCCACCTTATAATCAACTCAGACTTCCAGGACGATTTCAACACACGATCATGAATAACAGAAAATGTCAAACATTTTTGAATTCTTTGTTTTTATTTTGTTTTCTTTAATCTTTAAATCACAGAAAAGGTTGTCAAAAGACATATAAGTATTAAATATAAATATTTCTCTCTCATCTTTGTCATTATGCTAACAGATAACAAACAGGACACATGAGCATCAGACTATATTGATCGCTCAGCATACAGCATGCTCATGTAATGGACACATCCATATTCATGCTCAGAATTAGTCATGCCCAACCCACAAATCTCAGCAGTGGACATGCTCAGCACATATTTAGTTAGTGAACACTCCCACCTAACAACATGCTCATTGATAGACACACCTATTGTATTTTATGTTCAGTAGTGCACCTGAGTGCATGTTCACTAGTGGACAGGTTCAGTAGATAGTGTGTTCCATGGTGGAATGCTCATTAGTGGACAGGTTCACAAGATAGCACATTCCATGGTGGAATGTTCATTAGTGGACTGGTTCACCAGATAGCACATTCCATGGTGGAATGCTCATTAGTGGACTGGTTCACCAGATACCACATTCCATGGTGGAATACTCATTAGTGGACAGGTTCACAAGATAGCACATTCCATGGTGGAATACTCATTAGTGGACAGGTTCACAAGATAGCACATTCCATGGTGGAATGCTCATTAGTGGACTGGTTCACTAGATAGCACATTCCATGGTGGAATGCTCATTAGTGGACTGGTTCACCAGATAGCACATTCCATGGTGGAATGCTCATTAGTGGACAGGTTCACTTGATAGCACATTCCATGGTGAAAATTCCTACCAGTACACATATTCATTAAAGAAAACACCTACCACAGAACACTGAATTTATAACTGTCTGCTTGACATGCTCAGTGTTAGACATGTCCACCAATGTCTACCCAATAAAATGGATGCAGCATGTTTCACAGCAGTATGGGATTTTGTTGGTTTAAACATACATGTAGTGATAAGTGACACATTGAAGACTAGTGACTGTTCAACTTCTGTATTGCTATGAATAAAACTATTACAGCAAAGGCCTGACACTTGTCAAACAAGAAAGTTCACCATCATCAGTAACTCAAACAACAGAATAGAGTCTCCTGGATTTCTGACAATGATGAAAAATATGAGAGAATTGAACAGTATTAAAATTAAACCCACTGTTAGTGTCAGTGTTATATTACTGAAACATTACAGGCACAAAAGTTCCTTTTCTTCAACCACAAAATAGTTTAAAGTTTGAGACAAAATTTTGTAGGGACTTTAAGTAAGAAACAAAAAGTATCAAACTTTAAACAAACACAAAGTACCAAATGTCAATAACATGCATAAAGTGTACAGGAAATCCCCCCCTCCCACTCCAGTTGCTATTTAAGTAAGCAACACTACCAACATGTTACATTGTTCACATATTATAAGTTACATATTTGTTGTACACAATGATGTTTATTCACCTGATGGGCAGTAAATCTAAATCTTATGAAACAACCAAACTGAGAAATTTCACTCTTATTAAAACATTAATTCTTTTATGAAGATACCGATTGGACCTTTTTTCCTAAAGGTTGCATAAAATAATTCACCCCTGATAAAAAGAATTTCCAATCAGATGGAACTTTAAACAGATGAAATAGTCCAAAAATTGAGCACATAATGCAGTGAAGGTGATAAATGTTGATAACAAGCAGACAGTAGACAATCATATAACATGTGATGGTCTACAACTTAATAAACACCAAAGGTATCAATAGTTTGACACTATATATATAATAGCTATGTAAATCATGTGAGCTGAATGAAACTGATAAAAGTTGGCCAAATTTATGAGGTTTGATTGTTCATGATGACATGAATGACGCCAGCAGTAGCAACAGCAGAACACATAATTACAAAATGGATATTGCTCTTCCATAAAGAACACTTTGGGATTGTGCAGCGATTCCCATGAGTATTCTAAGCCAGGCTTTAACTCAACAATACCTCAATTCAAAGTCTATATCTATTTAAGATCATACAGTGACAAATTAAACATAAAACTTCACCATATTTTATCTCAAAGCCGACTAGACAAAAAATTGAATTTATGGAATTTTCAAAAACATTTTTGTGATTTTACATGATTTGAAGTATTTCATATGAAAGGAAATTTGAATTATGGAAATAATGGTTCACAAGAAGCTTTATCAAGCTCTTTAAAAGTGAATACAAACAGTAACGAGTGTGATACAGCACGATTCCATTCAGTATACATGAAATCAAAGATTCATGGAAAAATACTTTGTAAAATCTTCAGCAGTTCTGATATATTGCACATTCAGTTTGAAAGCACACGATTAAAGTGTCTTACAGTATGTATATAAATCCACCAAGCATATATACAATCATATTATGACCAAGTCAGAAACTGAAAGGTATTATTACCAATGTTCCCAACTCATTTCCTGGTTCACAAAATCAAAGTGTAATTTTTACCACGGAAAATATAAAAGTATAAAAACCAACACTGTGTATTTGTAAGACATTTGGACATGAGTGGAGACTCAAGGATACTGAATTAAATGTAACAAAATGTCAGCAAAGAGCCAGAGGCAGTATTCAAAGAAAGTACAAGACAACATACAACTGATCAACACATTTTTAGTGAGATAAGACTTACATTGAAAGTGGATTAAAATGATAAGTTCCTGGTTTCTGGCCATAATTATCATGGTCTGATCAAATTTACTGGGATATCATACTATTATATATGAAGTACCTAGCTGACACTTATGATGAGTGTACAGAACCACCGTCCAGCAGTGGTATTCTGGTACTGATGACAACACAGAGCTGATGGGTGACAGTTATGTTGTTGTAGATGTACATAATCTAGATTTCAGTCATTTTCATGATAAAAATATTGTTCTGAGATATGCTTGTGCTAATTGTAGTCCTAAATGTTGTTTCTCTAGCAATTGTTGAAAATACCCATTTGTCAAATTCATTCTTGCGCGGACTTGCTCAAAAATGACAAAGCACAAAAATTTCACTATACCACATCAAGACGTTTAAGGTATATTTCAAACACTAGGAAATGCTCCCTAATGCCCTTGATCATATTTAGTAATGCCTCTATATATAACTTTCTGTTTATCAACAAATAAAAAAGTAAATTATTCTATAAATATTTGTATGAATTTTTAAACTAAAACCAAACAACCAATAGCAGTTAAGGTCTGGTTATGTGATAAAAGACTGGCACTAAGAGTTTTACATATTAGATATTCCGATATTATCCAAAAAGAAACACAGATTGTTAACTACAACAATGAGCTACCATGAGTTGAAAGCATTAGTGGAAACTAAAAACATCTATGGTTATTTGAAGTCTGTTTTCACATTCTTATCCTTTGAATCTATTCTCATCTACACTCATTTCTACTCTTCAGGCTGTCTATTCTCATCTACACTCATTTCTACTCTTCAGGCTGTGTATTCTCATCTACACTCATTTCTACTCTTCAGGCTGTCTATTCTCATCTACACTCATTTCTACTCTTCAGGCTGTCTATTCTCATCTACACTCATTTCTACTCTTCAGGCTGTCTATTCTCATCTACACTCATTTCTACTCTTCAGACTGTCTATTCTCATCTACACTCATTTCTACTCTTCAGGCTGTCTATTCTCATCTACACTCATTTCTACTCTTCAGGCTGTCTATTCTCATCTACACTCATTTCTACTCTTCAGGCTGTCTATTCTCATCTACACTCATTTCTACTCTTCAGGCTGTGTATTCTCATCTACACTCATCTACACTGTCATTCTCATCTACACTCATTTCTACTATTCAGGCTGTGTATTCTCATCTACACTCATTTCTACTCTTCAGGCTGTCTATTCTCATCTACACTCATTTCTACTCTTCAGGCTGTGTATTCTCATCTACACTCATTTCTACTCTTCAGGCTGTCTATTCTCATCTACACTCATTTCTACTATTCAGGCTGTGTATTCTCATCTACACTCATTTCTACTCTTCAGGCTGTGTATTCTCATCTACACTCATTTCTACTATTCAGGCTGTCTATTCTCATCTACACTCATTTCTACTCTTCAGGCTGTCTATTCTCATCTACACTCATTTCTACTCTTCAGGCTGAGAAAACGAGTAGACCTTTCCACATGTTCCCATTCCTTCCTAATGTCATAGGTATCAATAGAGTGTCTATTACTGATGGACCAAATAGTGAAAATTCACTATTTCAAACTACAATGAGATTTGTTGAGTGTCCATAACTGGCCAACTTCTCAAACACGGTCATACTGCTTTGAGTGCCAGACTACACCACATTCAATTTAAAGAATGTTTTGTTATTAGAAATGAATTTCAGTGAGTAGGACTCGTGTAAAATTTAGGATGTCAGGATACAAAGGTTTTGTTTCATTTTTTTTTAAATTCAGAAATTAGTTCAGAGCTTGAGGTTGGAAAGAAATGGACATCAAGATACTCAGAGGTCAAATAAGAAAGGCTTAGCAGTAGTTTCACTGACTCTTCATCTTACATGTACTCATCTGAAATCAATGTTTAAACAGACATGTCGAAGTATTTGATATTGCATCACACATTAAGGAATGTCTATAAGGTAGCCATTTATGATTTGTAAACATTATAACTTTTTCTATAATTGATTAAGTTTGTCTAACTTTATCTGTAATTACTGATTAGTTGTAAAGAAACACTAAACAGACTCCTTCTTTGAATCCTGCACCATAGCTGTAACTCAGGATGGTACATATATAGATATATATATATTGCCTCGCTGCAAAGAAGGGCAGTACAGATATATATATTGAATCCTGTGTCCTCGCTGCAAAGAAGGGCAGTACAGATATATATATTGAATCCTGTGTCCTCGCTGCAAAGAAGGGCAGTACAGATATATTTATTAAATCCTGTGTCCTCGCTGCAAAGAAGGGCAGTACAGATATATTTATTGAATCCTGTGTCCTCGCTGTGAAGTAGGGCAGTACAGATATATTTATTGAATCCTGTGTCCTCGCTGCAAAGATGGACAGTACAGATATATTTATTGAATCCTGTGTCCTCGCTGTGAAGTAGGACAGTAAGCATATATATCTTGAATCCTGTGTAATACCGGTTAAGTAGAACAGTACACATATATTAATTGAATCCTGTGTCCTAGCTATGAAGCAGGACAGTACAGATATATATATCTTGAATCCTGTCCTTAATCAGAAAGCTTTGTTGATGGATTATACTGCACATTGCTGATTCAGGTCTTACAACAGCATCCTTGGTTTACATAACATATAAGTTAAATTCTGATGACTCTATTATACAGCTGTAGTAGTGACACTCTGGAATGTGCATCCAAGTATTACACAGTATAGGTAGTCACTCTGTTTATTTTCGCACCAGACCACATACTGTATGTATAATACAAGTGTCAAATTTGTCACAAGAAATCAACATGGAATCTCTCTTGGCATTATTGAACAAATCTCCTTTCAGCTGCCCCCAAAACTCTCACGCGGACAGAGCCACAAATGTGTTATACAGGTCCTGGTTGTGCCACTTGAGCTTAGCCTCCCTGAACACAAACATCGGTACTGGAATTTGTTAGTGCCTGCGCTGGACTCTCTGACCTCGAGGTAACGCTCAACACCGTTCTTGACCCCACATACTGCAAACATCACTACATTTGTCTGAAAAACACAATGAAGTTCCATAATGAAATATATTAAAATTATTTATTCTATATTTCTTAGTGCAACAACTGTTTTAAAAACTTCTAGCTATGAATAGTAGGAAGATGGGTTCTTATCAATTTATGATTTATTTCAAATGGGTTTGTTATGGCTATTAACAGGCATCTGCATTAATTTGTATATGGAGAAATGCTATTCCCTTTGGTAAACAAATACCTTTAGCACATCTGAGTCTGGCTCCCACTGTGTATCTGTTTGAGGAGTCTGTGATGAGGACAGTGCATCAAAGTCCCTCATATAACATGCTGACAAATTTCCCACACCTGGAGGTCCCTGTCAACAAAAGCACAAGTCAGTAAAATTGGTACAAGACGCGTGTCAGATGTTTCTTCAACATCTTCTTACAAGAAGAACTTACCTGGATTATAGTATTGATCTGACAATATGCCCATGTCATGTAAAAATGAAGACCACCCATAACTATTGCTGATTCAGCAGAATTACAACTAAATGCTTTTCATTGCTCTTCATTATCCAAACATTAATCCTGATAACTTTGACTCATAGATTGCGTGTTAACTGGATGTATAGCAATTTAAATAATGTTTACCAATATATTTTACATATCATTAAATGGATATTTTGAAGAAGGCTTTGATTATTATACAATTTTGAATTTTGAAATTTTGTTTTTATAACAATTGTTAATGCAGATCAGAGACGTATATATATGTGATATATACGTCTCTGAGCAGATCTGTCAAATTATTTAAAACCCTTCTGAAAGCTGAGATTATAAAGCAATGAGGTCTCAGTAAAACCTACATTGCCAGGTCAAGTGGCCTTATACATTTGGTGGCTTCATCAATTTCCACAAGGACACTTGTCCAGGTAGGTGAAAGGTAGGTGTGTCCTCTTAGGCAGTGCCTCAGTAGGTGACACCCATCTTTCACCAACGTGACAGGGAATCTGAACCACCTGAGCACTATTTCTGTCTAAAACTGTAAATATGCCTTTACTCAACTGGAATTTTAAAAAAATGTTTTCAATTTTTTTCCCCACTTTTTTTTTTATTATAATCAATATTTGAAAGTATTTCGGTTGAAATTGAACCAAGCAATATCTCCACCAGAACATGATATATATGATTTTATCACACAAATACATGACTTTACATTTAGCTGCAGAATTCACTTTGAAATAAGTTTACAAAGGATATAAAGCAGTATAAATAACATGCCATTCAAATGGGAAAACCTAAGCATAAATCAAACAAGAGTTTTGAAATAATAACATGCAAAAAGATTGGAAAATTTTTAATGAAAACTCTTCGCTCTTTATAAATTTCAGATTGTCAGAATAAGCTTATAGACTCCTAAACCAGACATCACATAGTGGACTGATAATCCAAGTGGTCTCATGATATAGGCATTGATCTAAATAGTTTGAAAGTGGTCTCATTATACAGGTAATCTCTTAAAAAAGTTCAATAGAACTTCTCATCCTCATCATAATGATTCATCTAATCCTTTACCTTTGGACCGGGCATTTTTGAAATTATGCTGAGTCTGTCCTCAAAATCACTCTGTATAATTGTCAATTGGGAGGTGAAGTTAGATTGGAATGCAAACAGATCATGTTGTGTGGCGTTGATCTGCAGGGATGCATTTCCATAAACATTGTCTATATTTTTCTGGTTGTGTTGAAGCAAAGCTTTTGTTTCCAGTAAATTCTTTTCTAAAGTGAGTAGCTTTGTTGAAGTTTCTGTCTTCAGTTCAGACACCTGGAAACAAAAATGGTATTTATACTAGGGCATCTTTCTGACCATTTATTTGAGTAAATAAAACATAAAAAATAACACTAAAGAATGGAAGCAGGGTTTTCCAGTAGCCTACAGTAGCACTACCTAAAGCTGGTTGCAATTGCCTTCCAATATAAGAATATACTACCACATCAGGAAATTTGGTTTTGTACGAAGTGTTTGTCATTATCAAAACATACCTGTACATGATCTGTTGTTCTAGGGTTCTAACTAGGTCACAATTATCGATAGATGTTCTGGTAACCAGATGGGAAGTATACATTGTAGGCTTACAGTCCTGGACAGCATTAAAATTCTACTAGCAACATTGATATTTCCATCACAGGTTTTGGTTCTACACAAGGAGATTCTCTGTGTTAAAAAACACAGTTAAAGTTCATTTCATATTGCACACATATGTAATAAGATTTTTATTCAAACTGTTGAAACATGTATTTTCCAACAGATTCAGTCTATCATGTGTATTGTCAAACTACAACAGGTAGAGGAAGAGATAATGAAAGTTATATTATACAAGCATGCAAAAACATTACCTTTGGACTGTTCATATATACATCACAAAAATCTATCATGGTTGGGGAACAGATTGTACAGAGCTACAGGTATACATAACAAATACATGTATATTGATTCTTAACTCCATGCTGTCTCCTTTACTACATACAGCCAATGACTCATTCCATGCGATATGCAAACCAAACAACTGTTTTCACCCACTTGCTATTTCCACCCATTATGCTTTTGACGAAAAGCTATAAACCAACACCAGCCAAATTGACTTTTGTCTGGAAATATTGTTACTGTATTTTTTTTACTTACACGTTGACCAAGCTCCTCAAGGTAATCAACTGATGTATTCCCAGACATCACAGACTCTAGAAACTGTAGCTGTGGAAAGAAAGGAATCATTTAAATATTAATACACACCATTTAGTGTTTTCTGTTCTAAGTACAATGTAAGAAGCACTGATTTATAAATTCTGAATAATTTATAATATTTTTGTGCAAGTCTTCAAATATTTGTTAAGAGACACTTTGTTTTTTCATGAAGTAATGGTTTGTATGTTATCATAATGATTAATAAGCAAACACTAATATTTTGCTCAATAAATGAAATGAAGCACATTTTCACAAGTTAGGATGATTGTACTTCCAGATAGGTGTTTGATTGTCCATTGGCTGTAGTTTATGTGTCAGTTAATTACCGTATTTATTCGCAAATAAGCCCACTCCGACTAATAAATCCCTTCTTCATTTTTGCAGAATCATCAATTTTAAAATAGTATGCTAAAAGGCCAAATAAGCCCTCACCAAACTCTAAAACTAAACTTTAACACTAGGCTAGGGGGCTTATTTGAGGATAAATACAGTATAACAGCATTTTACATGTAAACAGTATAATACCTTCTGATTGAGATCTGAGTAATTATTGTGGAGGCTGTTCAAATCTTTCTGTAGACTTTGTATTGTAAGTGGACCTGTAAAGTACAAAGATTATGAATAAAAAAGTAATCTCCAAAAAAGTGTATAATGGTTGCCTATAAAATGAGATGTTTCATCATCTAAATAGCTAATACATTGTAATGATATATTCATTATTTGACTTTTAACCCAGTTGTGGAATAATGAAATATTCCATGGCATTGTCTTGCACATTAACTTTTATCAAATCGGTTCCAAGTGACTAAAATTGTGTCTAGTTTGTTTACCTGCTGAATAGACGATGACGATGTAGAGGCTGATGGCAAGAGATAGACAGGAGATAAGGATAAGGAAAATGACAATTATTTTCATCATCTTCAATTTTTCTTGTATACTATTGTCTGGCTGAGTGGCCTTGACTTTGTTGTAGATGTTAGGAGAAGAACTGATCATGGTATCATACAGAGGGTTGTAACGCTTCCTGTGGGATAAAATATACATAATCATAGGAAATGGAGACAACCAAAGTGTATCATATAGAGTACCAAATTATTGTCAAAGGAGACAACTAACGATGAATTCTACAGGGAGTCATAACGCCTCCTGTGGAGAAAAATGTCTACAATCCTTGTCAAGGGAAACAACCAGCACAGTTTCATACAGAGAGTTGTAGAAACTTTCCTTTTAAGTAAGACAAACATCATTAAGGGAAATTATCAATACAGTCCTATAATGATTTAATACATTCTTGTCAGGAATGAATGTTTGTAATCATAATCAAGAGAAACAACGAACAATATGTCAATCAAAGCATTGTAAGGCCTTTTTATGTAACAAATGGAAACAAAAATAATAAAGGGAGTCAACCAACATTTTGTTGCTGAGCTTTCTGTAAGGAAAAATTTCACACAATAATTGTCAATGAAGACAACTTACAATGTATCATACAGAGTGATTAATTGCTTCTTACTTCAGGGAGTTGATTTAAACTGATTATAATGTGATCAGGGTTGTTGCAGTAAAAAAAACACAACCTTTGACAGCAATGACTAAGACAACCAGCACTGATCATGGTGTGATACAGACCAGGAGCACTTAGTCACAAAAATCTACATGGTAATAAAAACTCTACTGAAGGTGTGTTTTTATTGTAATGTACCACATAGATATCACGTCCTATTGTAAAGATAAAATTTATGACGAGAATGATTCAATTACAAATCAACTTGCCTCTGATCAGAATTGCGTACAATAGCAGCAGTATCCCCAGACTCGGAGGGTGTTTCTGCTGTAACTGTGCCTGCTGATGACTGGTACTCAGAGCAGGACTCTGGAGAGGTCTGTCTCCCTCCTTCAGGCCTAGAGAAAAATCAATCGTTAGTTAAAACATAAACTTTTACAAGTGAAATTTCATTAGTATTGAGCTATCATTAAGGAATATGATTTTACAACAATTTCTTTTTCCTGTATTCAACTCATCAGCTTAAATTTGAAGATTAACCATCATCAGAATCTGTTGTCATTAGTTGTATAAGACTAAATGCTGTTTAAGTGTACACAATTACACAATAACTTGCTTTGGGTGAGGAAGTTCTTCATACTGGTGTCCCTCATAGTCAGCATAATCATAATTCTTTGCAGTACTGGAAGGACGCTGTTTGCCATTTGCAGTTAGACGATGAGATAAATCTGGTGATACATGTACATCATCAAGGTCAGCCACACCTGCAATCATACAACCAAACTTTAAATCACAATTATGATGACATTCTTATGACTTATTATCAATAATACAGCTTCACAGCTCCACAGCGTCATAATCCATGACATCACAATAATTTAACACCTACCTCAAATTCAAATTGTGATCACAAACTATGATTTTATGCCACTAAGCATACTCCTCAATTTCATTAAATTGTATTTACTCACAATCTCGATTTCAAACACTTACATGTCAATATACAGAAAATACAAGACATTGTGATTCTAGTACTATAAATCCACACATTACTCTCATTTTTTCCCTTGTAAGTATACATTTACAAGTAATTTCAACTGGGGTGGAGTGTATATGTACATTTTCATATAATGTTAATTTCAACAAGAGAGTATTAGCAAGAAAACATAAATGAAACATGACATGTTAAAGACTTCTAAGACACCAGGGAATGTCTTAATTACACTCTAGGTAATCTTGGCACAATGATTACTTTAAAGACGCTGTAATCAATGATCATCAAGTATTTTTTACTATACTTAGTCAAAAAAAATCATTGCAATTGCTCCATGTAGGTGTGAACAATCAGGTTCCATTGACAAACCTCAGTAAAATCCATCAATGATATCCCATTTAATCTTTCCTGCAGTCTGCCTTTTAGATTATGTGTGACAATTATTACTTTGTCTAAACACTTTAGGTTCCAGCAGAGAGAGACGCCATCAGATATTAGCAGCTCTATGTTCGGTATTGATTTCCAGCAAGAGCAGAATAGGTCTATTGGATTCTTCCACCCATCTTTTGTCATACAAATCAGTTTAAGCAGGGCCATACATCATACAGTCATTCCTAAATATCTACAGTTCTTATATTCCAAAGAATCCCTTGTCAGTAGGATGACCTTGACCTCTAAGGATACCTGAATCACCACAGTGACACATGGTCATTGATGAGAATCAGGGGATTCCCAAAGAAACGATGAATCAACCGTGATCAATATATATATATATATACCCATCACCAATGGGTTTACTGTGTTGTGTGATCTGCCTGATTAGAGTTAGTCACTCTTTTTCACAGCCAATTTGTCAATTTAGCAGAATAAATTATCTTCGAAAGACAACTTTATGTGTGTACATCTATTAAATCTATAATTGGCAAATCATATTTTTTTCGAACATCACACAATATGCATTCAATACTTAGTATTTACCTCAAGAATGTTTAGTATAGAAATGATTTCTCATAATACAAATGCAATTTTTCATAAAATTGTGTCTGTGACAAAACTAAATAGAAGGTCTAGTGGCCTTGACTGTCACCTGAATTAAGCAATATTGAATATAAAGTTTAAAGGTTAGTTATCAAGTGTCATGATACAGAAATTGTGACAATGAATATAGTAAGCCAATGACAATACATGCATACCATCAAAACTGACATCCTATACTGATAATTCTTACAAAGTTATTTCCAGTTTGAAATAAACTTCCTCCCCAAAAGGAAATGTGACTCTTGATTCTATCATACCTGGCTTTTGGAAAGAAGGTTTTTGAAATTTAAGTCAATTTAACCCTTTTTGGTCCAACTCATCAGTCCCTGGTGCTCAGTCAAAATCAATATGGACATACCACCAAGTCGTCATCCTTCACTCATAATTCTAACCAAGCTTGAATTAAAAAAATCAGATCAAGAGATTTGTGAAAATGTTACATTGTTTACGTCCGCAAGTCTGCCAGATGAAGGTGATTGCAATAGGTCACCATCGTAAAATGTTGTAACACCTGAACCATACAATATGTCCTTATAAGTAATGACCTCTGCAAGATGATTGGGGAAAGGTGAAGCAATATTACTGGACTGGATTGTAAGTAATGGACTGTGATCAGAGTGATCTCTTCAACATTTGTCTGGACTTTTAGTTAAGGACCTTAAAGTTTGATAGGAATTTTGGCCCAAGCATGTCTGTAAGGACCTTGTGTTTGTCAACATAATAATCTTTCCCAATGGGTTGAGATCTCCTAGATGTTATTAGACAGTATCAAGTTCTTACGAAATAGACATCCTATGTGAGATTTTGTTTACCACATAATTCAAAATTATAAAAAATTGAAAAGATTTAGACTAATATATAATCTTAATTTGTGATATTCTCACCAACATCCTTCCCTTTGATGACATCACAGTGCATATGATGTCATTAATTTTTTTTCAACCCTTAAAATGTTTCATGTTATTATCATAAGTAAATTGTATTTAACCACATCACATTTTATACAAATTGTTCAAAGTCAAACGAGAATTATGTCTCATGCAATTTCATTTGTCAGTATCTAGACAATCTACAGATGGTCAGGTTTAGTCCTGATTTTTGTTACACAGATACAAAGTCCAAACTAAACTCCCATCAGTTCTCTTATTACTGTACCAACAAAATTACAGCACTCAAATTATTGACAATATAAGATAATTACACACAGCTAGCCTTATATAGCAGTAAGTAGCCTGAGACACAGTTACACATGGTTGGTAGATGACTCCAATTATCTGTGTAACACTGACCTCATCATGGACATACTCTCAATTGTCAGTACTTCAGATTTCAACACCAGTACATCCTTAGGTTGTCCCAGTCCCCAGTCATAATACACAATGTAGGTCAAAAAGAAACAATCACATGAAGACTTTAAATAATTTTTTTCAGCAAATTTTTAGAAAATTTCAATTAAATTGAATTGGTGATTCAGAAAGAAATCAGTAAGCTTTGATGTAAATACTACATATAGTATAATATTCAAATTTTGAAGCACATAATTTTGTGGAGAATTATCACTTAAAATATTTATTTTTGTCATATATAAATTCCCAGTTCGGTTTTCATACTACATGACAGTTAGTCCCCATCCTACAGCAACAAAGTATCTAGAGACTAGCAACAGCTTTTGTTGGTCTAAAGGTTGAGTCATGAGATTTTCATATTTTATTTGGGATTTTGGTTTTCTTTTCAAAATACACATTGAATTATAAATATCTGAATTGTAACCCTGTAAAACGCTATTATGCTTCATCTTAAATGCCTCAGTACATGTAATCACTTTGGACCAGATATTTCAATTAATTCTACTGATTTTCAGACTTCAATTAAACAAAATGTCTTCTCAAAATTTTTTGTTTCCTAATATCAATGTCAATTCAAAAGTTCAACTTATTTGACACCTGAACTTGCTCTTAACCCTGCAGGAACAACCCTGAAAGCTGTATGTGACAAACTATATACTAAGTAAAGGTATACCTGGAAAATTCAAATATAAATTAGAAGTTCAAAGAAAACACTTACATGTTCGGATGTTATAGCTCAGTACATAACAACAAAATAAACACTCTTATCTGAAATATTATGGGAGCATATCCAGCAGATCTTTTCACCATGTCAGATACATGTAATACACATAGAACACCTAATGATATAATACTTCATCGTGTAACATACCCTGATAGTGTCTACAGGTAACCATATTTTCTTAAGGTGAGATATTGTCGCTTTACCCTAGGGTAGGTAGATATGGCAGGTATCAATAGTTCCTTAATTCTAACAACTGTATGACATCGTATGAAGAATGCATTGACACAATAATGCTGATGCTGCAAAAACATCAAAGAGTCAGACAGGTAACAAAACCAAATGGCATCATCTACTCCCTGGAAGAGATCATTGGAAGATCTCTGCAAGTCTATGATTCAGACATAGGTTGTGTTTAAAAAAAATTGACTTCAATATGTTAAAGAACTTTGCTGCACCAGTTAATTTCCTAATATGTGACATCACCCAGGTGTGAATAAAAAGAAAAAAATCTTTCATCAATACATATTCACCATATATTGCTGCCAAGTATAGCTAAATAAACATTTGATTGTCATAACATTCAATATTCCTTCAAGAAATGCATACAACGATTTCTTTTTTCACTCAAATTAGAATATGCATACTATTCCTTATAAGTGCAACACTTAAATGGAAAAGAGTAATTGGCCTAATTCTGACTGTTGCCATTGAGCTATTATAACAGACCTGTACCATCTACCATGAATAGTTCTAGTTCTCATTAAATGTGTGTTGGTGATCTTTGGTTGATTTCATGAAAGTACTGTGCTGTGGCAGCTTTCATTGAGAAAACCAATAAATCAATTTTGATTATGAAGACAAGTATTAGAAAGCAAATACAATTATGGTATAGCAAACGATTAATATCTTTCATATCACACCTGATGTGTAAAACTAATTTTAAAAAAGTGTTAAAATTTCTAGAGAAGTGAATGTCACAAAAAAATATAAAATCGCAGTCAGTAGGTAATTATTATCAGGAAGGACAAATGAAATTATTGCCAAAAAATCTGACAATCGTCATACACCACAAGTCTAATGTGAGAAGTCAATTAATTTGTATATCATTTCTTCTCTCAATCAATAAAGATTCCACAGCTGTTCATGTAATATAATACTAACCACACTTGGAGTAGGGGAACTTCAGAGATGGTCCCTTCAGTCTATAGTCATTGTAGTAATCATGCTGCATTTTGGAACAGCCTGTGTGTGGCTTGTGATCCAATGATTCTACAGGCGAATGTGGTACACCACTAAACATTGCAGTCTGTGTACTCTGCTATATACTCTCACTCCAATACAACTACTCTGCCACCCTGTCAAACTTCCTGTTTACATCAGAAGAACTCCAAATGAAATACACATGTGAAGGAGGAGGAGGGGCAGTACATGTAGATATGTGACAGTTACTACTGCTCCAGTGGCTGGGCAATATAATGTATCAGACCTACAACCAGACTGTCTCCAATGAGGCTACTTTACAGGTTTACTGCAGTGGTCAATATTAAATGTCAATACCTCACCACCAGACATCAATACCATATATACTGCAATCATGATAGTGATGTTTCAGTTCCAATTAACTATGACTGGATGACTTACAAACAAGCCATAAAGGTCCGA